CAAAATGGAGACTTCGGCTTACGGTAATCCATTGATATGTAGATAGATTCGACCCGCGAAAACAAACAGAGGAATTATCGTCCAATTAAGATATGCTTAGCGTTATAAATACGTTATCTGACTGGCACTAAGAATTAAATGTTTTACATATATAGTGATAATAATTATTACTATATTCTAGCCCCTGGTTCGGTCGTGTGTACCGCGTCGCTAATTGTGTGCGTCGGCATCACATCGCATTGTTAATACTATGTATCCATTTGACGTATTAACGTGTCATACATACACAGACACACACGCACTGTATACAGCGTGCTCCGACAACCAACTATATGAGACCAAGCTACTATCATTATCACATATACTACATATATTATATGTTATATCAGAAATATGTGTGTATATGTCAGTTATACAGGTTGTGTGTCGTGTTAAAGGTACAGCTCGCCGCAGTGAACATCCTGTATCACGTTATAACTGTAATGAAGCCGACAGCTCGCGAGACACGAGGCTTTAATTAGGAGGCCTTTTGTGTGTTTGATTGTTGCTATTGTTTTATTACCAGCTATATACAAAACTAGATATTTGTATCGTTAGTTCGGACATGGAAGGCTTTTACGCTGGAGGAGAGGAACTGGTGAAGTCTCTTGTATCTGATGAAGGAATTTATTTCGTAGCACCGGCCACGTAGCACTCGCCGCTACGGCGTAGGCTTTATATGTATACGTGATAGACAGACTTAAAGGACAGCTTTTTTTATTTATTTAAATTTATTTTTATTAACAATAAATATTTTATTTCAAAAATTATGTAAATAATATTATTATAAAATAATAATTCAATATTATAAATGAATTGGAAATTTTATAATTAATAATTGAATTAAGAGATAAAAAAACATTAAACTGTACCTATCTGTCCATTAGAATATTTTTTTTCAATCCATCAATATTAATAAAAAAATATAGAAGACAATATTATGTAATTAAATATCACTCTCAATATTAACTTCTGCATACAAAATTATTATGATGGTTTTTACAAATATTTAAGTATTAATGTATAATATTTCGGTCCGTACACAGGCGGACACATGTGTTAATGTTCTATAAACCTGTGTGTTTGTAAGTGTTCATGATGCTGGACCCTTCTCCGTGAGGTGACTCGTAATAGAGAGGCTGGCGGCAGGAACAACACCCCCCCTCACCCCGGGAAGTATTAAAGTGGTTGGTATTATAATAAATAACACACTATACTTTTTAAACTGTGACTACCTTATAATGATTTAAATAAAGCTGTTTCAAGGACATCAAAATAAATAAAGTTTTCCTAATATATTTATATGTTCTCATTCCAAAACAGATACAAATATAATAAATGTAATAATAAGGATACATCATCATTCCTGAACGAACACTTAAATAACTCATCAAATATAAAGAAATAAAGATAAAAACGAAACCTTAAAGACGCCCGCTCACAAAAACAGCTACCGGCTGTTGGGACCCGAAAACGACTGAGACACAACAAAAAAAACAGACCGAGATCTATAAAAGAGGCTTTTAAACAATTAAGACGGACGGACCAATTAAATGTACCACACTGTTAATCGATACAACAAAAAATACACATTAAACTGTGACCTGACTGTGTTGGACCCTAAGCTAAACACAACAACTTATTATATATAGATATTGTGACACAACCTGACACACACACACATTACAATAATCCGTGCACACGAAATATAAGAAAAATTAAAATGATATCAAATAACTTACTTAGTAATGATTTCAGTTTATATAGATATAGAATAAATACATTTAAATTCACTGGAGTTTAATTAATTGAGTATAGAAGACACGAGCAGAGCCATAACAAATTATTAATAATAAGAATAATATATTAATATTATTATAAAAAAACATATTTATCTTTATATCTGTGTATTAGCTAGTCTTTTCCATTATTTCTAGCTCCTGGTTTCCGAACATTCCCCCAATAAGAAGCCGCATCATAAAGTGTTCCATCTATATCCTTAAACATAATGAGCTCCGCCATTAACGGACCTTTATTGATATTTTACGAGAACTTTGATTTATAGAAATTATGATCCCCAGTCCCTGCTTCACAGACCGAGGTTTAAAAACTGTTCAATACAATACAGATATCGATGGAATGTTACTTATAATGAACAGTTTAGTTAAATATTTATAAATTAAGAATTAATTTTACAGTGGTTTTTATATTTTAAATATAAATTTCTAACTCAAAGTCTTCGAAACTTTATAAACCAGTTACAACATACATCCTATATAATAATAAAAATATAATTTTATTGGATTAAAATAAAAATATCAAATCAATAACAATACGAATTAATCAAGGAGTATAATATCTTCATCTTAATTGTAATTTCTCTTAATCGTAGTAATTCTTTATGAAAGCAATAAAACCATCGCCATTTGTATTTCTTAAACAAATAAATCTAACGAGCGTACATGAACTGACACAACATGTCAACGTCAACTAATTATATGCTGCAGGCGACAGTCAACTCTGTGTACATGTAATAAGGTATATTATTGTATGCGTGTGTTATAATGAAGCGTGTCATATCTGCCGTATATTATAACCCGTCCACGTTGGGAGGACCTCGTAACCAGTGAGCGGTGGAGGTCGGCGGGTGACGTCTCAACTCGGTCGGGTGTTCGGCACAGGTGGGCCACTACTGAATAAAAATAGACTCAAAATCAATACAATACTTAGCGGGATGGCGTACAGAGGGTTGATAAAGATGAAGACGCTCAGAAACATTTAGGGGATGATGCGAGGGTTGAGGGTCAGCAACATTCACGAAAATATATACAGGGTGACTGGTGAATTACTATCAATATTTAAGGAGAATACTCGGTACATGATTCTCATTCGAATTATGTAAAAAAAATAGGTACTTAATTTTTGACCAAATTTCCCTATAAATAAATAAAGTGTTGACACGTTCCAAGTGTTCAAGTGTGGACGCGTGCGGTGGCGTGCTGATACAACACCACGTCACGACACGCGTATGTGTGAGTGTCAGTGTATACCTAATCTGTAGGGTGTTCATACGATGCGTAATTAATTACACAACTTTTGGTTAACTTTACTTAGAAGTTTATTAATATTTATGTTATATTAATTTTTATTTTGTCATATATGATCGTCAAATATCACGTCCTCAAGTATCGATAGTAATTCACCAGTCACCCTGTATATGTAATTATAGTATTTTTAATATCGTTTCTTGTAAAGATACTTAGTAACCCTTTTGGTAGTATATTAATACAAATATTGTTACATGTTAAATAATAAAAAATAAATTAGATTATATTTTACATTAAAAATTGATATTAAAATACAAAAATAAATAAACAAAAGTTTTGTATAAACTTAAAGTATGTATATACCAAGTTTATCGATAAGTCTCCTTCAATCCCTATAATCCCCGAGGACTGTCAGCTCTTAAGTAATCGGCCATTATATCGATTCTGGCCACAATCCACGACAACAATTGTTATTACTTAATGTACCGCATACATCGACCGCTCAAACAGACCTCATATATTATAACACCCAAGGAAACAAGCGATGGATGTGTGACCGGAGGGACGGTAACTTATTAATATGTCAACAGTTCTTATAAAACTGATTGATTAGAATAGTTAGTGAAATGTTGAGATGTTCGTTTGAAGATGATCGTTCATTAATAATTATGTTGAAAATAAATAGATACATTGTATTATGATGCACAAATATTAAATGAAATACTAAACATATTATATGACATCAAAATGTGAACAAACATAAGAAAAAAATATTAAGAATGTATTAAAAGATATTGTAATATGAACGTGTATACTTGTACAGTGTGAGTCGTATCTATTAAATGCAAACAAACGGACAAAATAAAGCACCAATTAGGCTTCCTAAATCATAAAACGTTGAATTCCCTCGTTTCATACAGACAACCGCTATCTCGACGCTTACAAATGAATATGAGACTTATATTCATACAAATAGAATCGTCTTTTCCTTGGTGGTATTTAAACGAAGGGATAATCGGAGAGCTGTATATAGACAAAGTGAAAGGGGTTAAAAATACGCAGCCCCAATTAATTAGAGACAATTAGCCGCCCTTGCATAACAAAAGGTAAAAACTCTAGCCATTAATTAAGGTATTCGGCCCCTTTGTTGTGGAAATCCTTCACGGAACCTCCTGGATGGAGCTATTACATTAAATGATCGCTCGAGGTTCACTGGAGATGAAGATTTAAGCAGAAACTGAAGAAGCTTTTGGTGATGGTGAAGAATCATCACACAGATAGAAGAAGAAATTCCTTATAAAGAAATTTAGAGAAAGTATCTTTTAATACTGACGGAACACTTGTTGATCTTCTAGTTACTTAACAGTTAACATACTTTCTTTTACAATAATATGAAGCATCGAAAATAAGTCCAAAGATTAACACGAACTGAAGCTCAAAAAGACGAGACAAACTTCATCATCAGTTGAAAGTTTTTCAAATAATTTCAGTGACATTAATAACAGAACAATTATCATCATTACTCTCTACAGGCCACCAGCCGATCGATCGTAACATTCATTGTAGTATGTAGATAACATGCCACACCAAGTACCAACAGTGAGCGGTGACAGCTTTCAATAATCCATACATTTGTTAATGATTACACGCACTTGAAGCTAACGACCTAATCTCCGCTGTCCATACAACCTTAAAAGCTCCAACACTATCTGCATCACGCCGATAAATAACTCCTGAACCTTCACAACCAAACAAGAATCGACTCTAACTATAATAATATAGAACTCACAGTCGTATTGTATGTACCGGCGCCAGTATCTCATCAGATAAGGATTGTCCATTAAACAAGTAGCTATCAATTACGGGGCTCGTCGTATTAAAGATAACTCGGACAGTGTACAGCGAACAGTCGAAATGTGCGAGTGCAGCAAAAAGAGAACCTCCTTCCTCATAGACGACATACTGAACACAGCCAGGGGCTCTCAGAGATGTAAGACCCACACGCATAGGTGCGACAGACACACGAAAAACAACTTTATTGACGATGTACACAAGGAAATAGAGACCACCAAGACGAAGGTAAACCTGGAGCAAAGAAGAAACACGTATCCTCTGTACCCAATGCCGATAAAGCCGGGAGTCGCCTGGCCGCAATACAAGATGAAGGCGGGATATACCATGGACAGACCCTCGATGAACTACTACAGCGAACCAGTTCTGAAGAACGAACACATACTGAGGAACCAGCTGGCAGTCACCAGATACGTGGGTCCTGGAGCCTTCATGAGGCAGGTGTACGGCTTTGATAGAGGTAGGCTGGCTCAATACTACTCATAAAACATACATTTGTAAATCATTCTTATTAGAAACCAACGATGGACACTGTTAAAGATCTCAATAATTACACAAATAATACTGCCTATAACTACTATATTTAGAAATATAACGAAAATACTTAGTACTTCACTCTCGTTATAATAGTATCAATTATATTTCGACGAAGGCTGGGTCGAAGGCAGCGGGCTTATGCTCGCGACCTGCCTCCCCAGTGAGGAAGCCTCCGGGCGTCGGTGGGGAACCGGCGTCCGGGTAACATAGGCTAGAGGAAGAGCGGCGTGTTTGGCGTTCCCGGCACGCTGCTCTTGAGTCGGAGGGGTGGTGTGGTCAGCCACTGATGCCCCTGCCGATGGCGGAGTCCCTTTCGGGACTCGTGCGTAGTGAGCGGAAGTATGGCTTGCCGTTCCCGCTCACTAGTCTACGCACAGCGCAGAGAACGTCGAGGTGGTTTAGTGGGTGGAAATCCCACATGCCCCTGTCGCGTTTCCCCCGCGGCAGGAAGTCTTTAAAAGATTCCCCTCGTAGAAAAAAAAAAAAAAAAAAAAGTATCAATTATATTTATTATAAGCGAAGTTTGAATTCAATTTATCCGCAGCCAAAAAAACCAGGCGATACAAATCATGATATAATAAATTAAAACAAATGATAATTATTAATATTATATTATTTACAGAAAATTTAAGGATTTGGATGGTAATAATCGATTAATAATCCGTAGATAACGAACGAAACGAACTTATCGAACTGCAAATAATATAGACATATTCATGTATTAACGATTAATGATGATAACGACGCTCAAGATTATTGATGTAATTAATCAGGGCTCACGAAAATAAACCCAAAATACATATACATATATATAAAATAAACATTTTGTCTGTTAGTTCATTGTTAATTTAAGACAAGACAAGACAATCAATTATTATAAACGACAAGAGCTCTTATAATAGAGTAAAAGTTCAATTTAAAACCACGAGAGAAGACGCAAGATTTAACCAATGTAACTAAACCTTTGACTCAAAAATAAAACAAAAAATCTTAATTAGTTCATAAAAGTAATGTCCATGTTTACAATACTTTAAAATATACTGTATATATAATATGAAATAATTTAAAGAACACGAATATTCAATTATCGTGTATCAATAAGCAATCCGGGGATCGTATCTACTCGTACCATCAATACATCATACACATTTAAAATACACCGATAACCTTATTTGATTGGCGATCATTTAATATATTATATGTTGTTAGTTGAGAACGATTACTATTAAATGTTTTTTAATAACAATTTTCTGTGTATGTGTTGTTTTGCTTTAATAAAATAGTTCTAATGAACAAACTGATAAACGCAGAAAGTTATTTTATATATGTATATAAAACTTAAATGTTTCTTTGTAAATTCAAATAAAATGTTCTTCACCAAATTTATGTGAAAGTATATGCGGTATCTGAATCAATAATGCAATTTTTAAAAATGTTGTCTATCTGTCTGTCTGTTTATTACGGTTATATTGTATCAGCTGACCTGAGATTGATGCGACTTTCATTAAATTTCCATCATAAGAAGTTACTTAAACTTCACTATAAAAGATTTCAAGAAGGAGGAAGTTCTCAGTCGTACTATGTATTTATTACACTCTTACTAATTCAATTAATCGTTGTTTTTCAAAATTATTTTTCATTTCGAAAATCAGGATTTGATGTAAGAGTCCTCGAGAAATAGAATGAAACTTCATAAGGAAGACAAAGAATATTTCAAAATGAATTTAATATGCAGATAAAGCCACAGACAACAACTAGTTTCACAAAATATGTTATTGAAAAGAACAGTTTAATAATATGAACATGTATCACTAACAGGCCAAATGTTGTTTGAGTAATTTTTAAGTAAACGAGTTATCGAGGCTCTCATAATATATTTCCTGATCGCGATTAGATTACAAATTAAAGTAAACCAAGTGTTTCCTAATAATGTTGAACCATATCAAATGTGCATATTTATAAATATATATGTCTAGTATTATTATATCACACATATAAAATTTACATACTTAAATACAAAACTAAATTTCTTTACTGAACAGCCTCTTAACAGATGTTACTAATGCCATCTATCGATAGTCTCTGAAACTGTATCGTATTTATAAAAGCCAAGACGTGAACCCATTTCTCGAAACAGACTTTAAAAAAATCGCAAATGAGTGATAGGCAATTTCATTTCAATAATATAAACTTTAAAAAGATTTATTTATTACTATGGTGATATATTTAAAATATATGCTATAGATACCAACATTTAAATCAATACAAAATGTCGAATGTTAAAACGCAAACTCAGCAGTTAGTATCTTAATTCTCACAAGTCCCAACACATTTTAAGTCAACTGTAAAAGAAAATATTATATTGTAGTACAAAACAAATGTTATCAGGTGCTTATAGTACTTAGTTTAGTCACAGTTCACACTACAGACTATGCGTTTCCCGTTTCATATACAAGTTTGTAGTGTGGCTATACTAACTTAGATTAAGCCCACTGTCGTGTATCTTGTTACTTCATATTGGTACGTAATGGAAGTAGTTTATTAACTAAATCGTCTTTTTAGGTATCGTAAGTTCATTTGATGCTTGATAAAAATACACAATATATTCTAATACGGTAGATATTCTTGAAAGTATATGTACCGTGGCTTATTCTTGCGAAAAGGTTTATTAAATAAGTATCGATTTCTATTTTTACTATTTTTAATAGTAACTTCGATTATTTTCATCTATTAGATAAAAACCGTGAATTTTGACATTAGGAAAAGTTATTGTTTTTTTTAATTTTGTTTGGTATTTTGACGTTACAGATCAGTTTCGCTAAGAAACTCCGAACATTCCGATAACCGATACCTCGAGTTCAAATAAATACTATTCTACAAAGCACTAACCTCCGGCTGTAAATTATTGCTTTATTTAAATAAAAACCAAAGAATATTTCGATTGAAACAATATTCTTCAAAATAATTTTACTAAATGTCATGTAAAAACAATTATCCTTTGACAACTGTGCCCTAGACTTAATAGTTAATACCCACCTCGATACGTATTTACGTAGTTTTGGATAACATATATAAGTAGTACCAGTGGCGGCTGTAGCTTAAGTGCGCCCGTGCGCTGAACCACCAATTCAAAATATTTAAAAATTACAAAATATTATGTCATCTTAATTTTTAAATTACCATTTTAATATTTATTTTTTAAACATACAAAAAGGTATAAAAAATTTAATTTCCAATTATGGTCAAAAAGTTTGAGCGCTTTACTAAACTCATATCGTGCGCTCCGGCGAGTGCACGAGGACTGCTAATACATCTTGTATGAGACACGCATTAATACGCCTGACGCGTGAGACAAAAGATAGTTCATAGAAATGTACCGAGTAACGAGTCGGTTCTCGCGCGCCGCACGAAGCGGCCGAAGGTCACCGAGAGCACCCGATGTATGACGTATTGAGCCGAAAGGATGGGTGCTATGATTGACATTTCGTTAATCGTTATTGGTATTGTTTCAACTTTCACTGTATGCGTGACGCGTTAATTCGTTATTGTTTATAATTATTTCCGTAATTCGTTTTAGTTTTTATTTCGTTTCTATAATAGAACTTTTATTCTGTACTGTGTTTTTTATTAGTTGAAAATGAGTATAAATATTGATTATATTAAAGAAAATAACAAAATTTTTCAAAGTAAAGTAAACATAAAATTGGCCGGGCCGCCACGGCCATTTTAAATTTAAAACAAGAGTGTAAATCGAAAAATAAAGCATTTATACGAAGTTTTAAAAGTGAAATGTATAATAGAAAGAAATGGTTGTGTGGATGTGAGCGTCTTAATGCATTCTTTTGTTTTTCGACACTGAAAAGAATCAAAAGTTTTCTCAGAAATACCATGTCTCAGGATCGGCTAAATGCACTTTCTATTGTATTGAAAAGAAATTTATAGAAAAAATACCAGATTTTAATAAAAAGGTGATAGAACATTTCGCTACAGAAAAATGTCGTCGCATTGATTTAATGTACAAAAAATAAACATATTTTATGTCAATTGTTGTTTTTGTCAATATTTTAGTAAAGTGAACCACCAGTTCGATAACCCACCAGCCGCCACTGAGTAGTACTGATATAAAGAATTTAAAGAATTACTTATATCTTTAATTTGTTTTTAAGTAGTTTAATTTGTTGTAGGGTAACTTTTGTGTGCTTAATCCAATTTTTGCATCGGCACAATATACCTACTATGTGTCTCCCGTTCTCATTAAATAACCAACGGTAATATTACAACATGCGAACATTTATATTAATAAAAATCTATAAACTTGGACAGAGCATGTTGTTTTCAAATTATGCAACAATAACAATCAAGATTAGCTAAATATATACTTTCACAGTTTTTGCAAGCAACTAACCATCTCATAAATTCAATCAACTTTTATTTTACTAAATCCATTCCAGTATTATTTCGTCCATTTCGTTTCCTTGACCAATAGAGTCTAATCTTTAAAAATCCCTTCTCATTTCGTAAACACTCTGTAGAGTCGTGACTTACTGATTAAACATTTCATATAATAAATTGTAATTATATCTACAGATACAGTTAATCTCTGAGCTCACGATGGTTCCATATCGCGGTTTTAATTTCTTTTGATTCGCTTCATTACAAGCTAATACATTTTTCGATACACCATATCACATTAAATAGATAGTAAAGTAATAAAAAGCACAATGTTTTATTATCGGGCGATTATAACATCAATCAAATACAAATATCAAATTAATAATTGGGACGGGCTATGACTGTCATTTCGATAATAACCTGTTAAAAATATTGATAACGTATAGGTATACAGAAATATCGTGACGGAATATTCAAATTTTAACTAATCTGTACTTAAAAATATGTTTTTAAAACGTTAAAAGATATATAAAGATACCCATTATATATGTATCTAATATTATATCAACACTTCCAGTGGCGCCATCTTGCTGTAGTTCCTGGCTAGGTGTGGGCACGAGACGGAAAGGTGGTCAGGTTCGTTTCAGCGCTGTTCAAACTGGAGCCTTAGAGAGACGTTTCAGTGCCAGCAAGTACCTTAGTCCTGATGAACGAAGAGCTCTAGCGGCCTCCTTACGACTCAGTGACCGTCAGGTAAAAGAAAATAATACACAATTTTCTTCAATGAAATACCTACAATACATCAATTGCATGCTTGTAACTTAACAGTCAATTGTCTTCAGGTAAAGACGTGGTTTCAAAACCGTCGCGCCAAGTGGCGGCGGATGACTCCGGAGTCAGCGGACCCCGCCAGCCCGCTCGGAGTCGACTCAGATGATGACGTACATATAGCTGATGAAGACTGACCTTATATTAATATTAATGTACATATGTATGACTGGGTTGAATGACTGAATTCGTTAAGGAATTACGTACACTTATTTAGCTTTATTTTTTAAGAGGCTTAGACAAATGTGAATCATTAATATGTGACTTTCTTTAAAACGAAGAATCCTTGGTTTAAATATCGTTAAAGATTATTCAATATTTTATCATTTTATAACATATTAGTCATTTTATACAAGGTCTCGATAAATTATTTATGTTGGAATCTTCTGTATATGAATATTAAATATAATTTAATACAGTGTTCCTAATAATGAGTAGGTATTAGTAATATTTTGATCACACCATGACTATAATCGCATCAATATTATCGCGATATATATTTTATCATATCACAGACTCGTATTGAACATTTACAAGTTTATTATTTATTTATCTGTGTAATTAAGATCGACGATCTGACAATTATTACGAGCTTTACAGTTACCAACATTAAATTCAATGTCGTATATGTACAGTGATATAAAGATATATTGTTAACTTTTACTTCAACAAATGAAGTGTATATAATGTTCTGTTATCTATAGTACGAAAAGCGCTTTGCCGCTGAAAATTCCTGTTATCGACGTCCCTAGGCGATTTTCATTTATTCCATTTAATTCAGGGTCAAAGTTATTGACGATATAATTTAAAAATAGTAATATATTCTATAGGGTACTAATTTAGATGCCTTACTATTTCTTAAGTTCAACTGTGTAAGTTCCTAAGAATAATTATACTTTTACTTTGTGAAATTAAATTTAATATGCTGAATAATCTTTTATTAATTGACTCTTAATATTAAAATTTTATCAAAGAAAAACCTAAATATAATTGAAAACTTTATAAATGAAAGACGATAAGTATATTTTTCATATTATTTATTACACACCGAGAGCATACGTTCATTATAAATATTCGTCTAGATTAGACCGAGTTACAAGTAACATTACAGTATTGCTATATTTACAAAAACAATGTGTCTTTTTAATTTAGAAAAATAATTGTATGACATCTTCGAGATAATATTTTTGTGAAGAAAAATGAAAAATAAATCTTTTTTTAAATTACTTAATTAGTATTACAATAATATACCTATTAAGTCATGGATTTGTCATCAGAAATATAATTAATGATAAAAACAATGGCATCAATAAGTATGGCAGTGAACAATAATACTGCCCGAGACAGATGTTTAATTTTTTTTATTTAAAATAAAACTCAACAAACATATATATTTCTTAATCTACACTAAAAATTTCTTCAATAAAATAAAAGGTATAAAATTAAAACATATTTAATAACAGTATAAAAACATTTAATAAAAAGGAACAAAGAGGACTTAACATTTGTTGGTTGAAGGAGAGAGATTAGATTGAGTATTAAAATATATATACATATTATGTATAATGACATATATACAGTAACATATAAATAGTATATATTTTAGGCCATCATCTGACATATAATATTTTTAATCTTTTTTTATAACTCCATGATATATGTACTAAACATAACAAGTATGTGTCTTCATTGTGAAAGTAAAGTATTAAAATAGCAAAAAAATTATAATAATTTAATGTTGCGTTGGATGGACGGATGATTGGATGAATCTGGATGGATGAATTACATGTAGATATATATATATGTATATAAATAATAATAATAACAATGATTATTTATATAAATAGTACATTACAAGTACAAATCAAATATATTTCATTAGTGATTTCATCCAACCAACAATATGTATGTCCCTATGTAGTGTAGTTCATTCATGTTTCTTTGTACGTGAACGCCAGGCTCGTAGGAGTATGACGCTGAAGTATAACTGGAACATGTGGACCTGACACGACAGGAACACAAACACATACCACAGAAGACCATATGGGTAGCCCTGAGGACAGAAATCATCAAAAAATATAGATAAATAATACAATAACATATCAACAAACTAGATAAAAGCCTTAATTATGTAAGTATATTAAGTGTATTAACCATGGGTTATATTTATGTAGCAAGCTGAAAAAGTTATGGGACCATAACACTCCTTTGATAAAAATATACCAAATTTTTTGGAATAACTACACATTTTTTATTGTTTTATTTCTACATAAATGAGATGAAACTAAATATAAATAAAATGTCATCTTATCTGCTTATGATCATGGTTGGTCAAAAGTAATGGAAATACAGGGAAAACAGAAATAAATAATAAAAATGTGTAGTATTTAAAAAGCTTAACATCATCTATATCAATATTGGTTATCAAAGAAGTAGAGTTGTTTGGTACTGTGGAGATCAGGGAGGTAAATAACTGTAATAGCAGGATGGAAAACTAGAATTGAACTTTAATGTGCGAGAACTTTACTGTACTGTATAAATAATGACATCAGATTCATGAAAGGAGTTAGACACAAAATATGTCCTATTGTGAACAAGATAACAGTCTGTGTTTATTACTGACATTGTAGAAATATATTTTTACTTTTTATTCCAAGTAGCAATATGCAGGAAATGTATGTATTGCTATTCAATATTATAAGGCACTCAAATAAGAAATTTACTAAACATTACTCCTACTTCTAAATTAGATTTCCCGCTATTTCTATTTATTTTGATATTCATACTTTCATTTTTAACTAGTATTCTAATTCTGTTTTTACTTTAAATGAAAATTCTCAGTACATTCTCTTAGTTAATATTTTTAGACCTTGTGTAAAATGTTAAACATTAAGAATATTTATATCAAGTATAACTATTTGAGGATTGAATTTTTTGAATGAGTTCAGAAATCTAATAACAATGACAATTTGAATACATACTGAGAAAACAATGCACAATATCTAATGAGTAAAAAGAACATTGTTTTTGATTTCCATGTCTCCATTCTCATATATTTGCACAGAAATAATATTTCTTATTACAAGTTCTATAGTAATTATAATAATATTGTATATATACAAACCTGCCACAACTGTATATCCATATCCTCAACTTCATCCTCGTCAACCGTCAGATATTCATACACATCCCCACAGTAATACACTACACAGTACAACAAGGGCCCGAGTCCCAGGGCCGTGATACCGTACATGTAGCGACGTAGTTGTTTCACATTGTTACGTTTGATAGCCGACAAACCAACAAACGACAGCAAGAGGGATAGACACCATATGTACTCCCACCAGAGAGGCTGCAAGGGATATATTTATATTAATAATATATAAAGCAAAAGGATAATCAACTAATATACCAGCAATAAAAAAATTACTATTGTCAGCAAATAGAACTAAAGTATGTTTTATACCAGACTAAATATAAATTAAATAAATATTTTATTATCATAAAATATTTATTACAGAATAATGTTAAACAAATAATATGTTTAAATTCTATCCCAGATAGATCAGGGAGTATAAAAAATATACATATACAGTAGAAACTCGATTAACCAGACTAATTGTTGTTGATAGGCATTTGGATAATTGAAAATCCCGTTAATCGACTGTATGAAGAAAAGCCAGTTTTGTGCATATAGTACTTCATATTATATGTTTATTAAAAAAAAATAACAAATACATGTCAATGAAAATCAATGTTTATAAATAAATAAATAAAGGACACATTTTCTTCTTTTCAATAGCAAATTCGACTTGTAAGTTGTAGTTATTTCATGTAATTGGTCAGTAGTCTGTATAACTGAGGGCTGGATAATCGAGTTTCTACAGTATGTTAAATATTGTTTATGTTATTTTGCTATATAAATTTTTTCTATATATTTGTTTTTATATTAATACTATTGGGTTAGTTTTTCAATGATATATTTTTAGTGTAGTAGTAACCTGTGGTATTTGAAGCTCCTCTATTTCAAGTATGAAGATGTCCAGCTTGTCCAGGATGTCTGCTGAGAGTTTAGCGAGCATCGCCAGGAACAGTATGTGATGGAAGAAGATGCAATATTTGAGACGGGATTTGTTTAATGCACTGGAATTATTCATATAACAGAAATAAGTGTCACTGTACACAATATAGACTGTAATAATGTTTAAAATCTCTTAAATTTCTTCTTTTATATATATTTTTTGTCTTACCTCATTTTCAGACTGAGCTAGGCTCAAGAATGTATTAATTAGTAAGAAAACGAACACACTGGATGCTATAATAAGAACATTGTTTTTATTTTCATTAGACCTACACGTTAGACAGACGATGTGATAAGAATGCGACGGATCCAAACAGACAATCGTTTCAACGATTGGCGCCAAACAGTTCACTATCAAGCTTTCGGCTAAAAATAATTTGACGGAACTTGATGAAATGTCGTGTGTCACATCCTCGCCTCTCCGGGATCACTGTCAACGGCTGAGCAGCTGAACACACGTAAAAATAATTACTAAACTCACCTTATTTGATACTGAGCCGCTATTTTTTCTCTGTGTTCATAGTCAGCTCCATTCGTCCCAGTCACCATAACACCTCCTCTTGAAGCCATTTTTTAAATAAACTCAAACTGTTTTACGAGTTGTCAAGCTTCTCTAACAGCTTGTTGTCACAACTTAGCTCATAAATTTAATATCTCTGTTTATAATACAATATTATTATTCAATCCATCACAATTCCACATCTGCCATACGAAATTAAGCTGGGTATCTGACACCATGACATGTCACCTGCCAACTTTTCAAGGTTGGCAAATCGACGTCCAGAAAGTTAAAAAGAATTACCAAGTTTACAACTTCAAATATAATTTATAAATAATTAATCACTGTATTTTGTTTGTCGGCTAAATTTGTACTCGTCATTGTAATTTATTAATTTGGTGTTCATGAAGTCATTCACGCTGATCACTAATTTCACTTGCAATTAAGAATTAACCTAAATAGCTTTACGAATTGTATAAAGTATAAATAGAGATATATACTTAAAAAGTATTTTTTTTAGAACAATGCGGATTATTTACTTACTTTAAATATAAGGTTATTTGGAAATTACAATCATTATTCGTAAAAATTTAAATAATTATAGTAAAAACGGGTGAGTGTTTCTTGGAAAGATTTTTTTATTGGATTCGAAGCCAGGTTTTTCTTTTAATCATTTAATTAATCAATTCTTAAATAACACTTAGATACAGAGAACTTTTTTATTTTTTATTTATTGTGTCTTAAATTTTAAGCTTATAAATAATATAAATAAGATATTCAAAGAATATTAAATTAAGTATGTTCTATCAAAATACTGAAAATTGCGGATTTGAAGCAGAATCCGTTATAATTATTTATTTCTTATGTCAACTTATTTTTTTATGAGATGGCACAGGGAAATAAATCACGTTTTATTTTCAATATGCATATATTTATCCATTTTTACATAATAATATGAAACGGAAATTAACGGTTTCTTCATTCTCTTAACATGAAAAGGTGTTTGAATTATATAAATTTAGGTTATTGAAAAACTCCGTGTTCAATACAAAACAATTTTCAAATACATACGAAATTTAGTCTGTTATATCACAACACTACAATAGCTTATTATGGCCCATTAATTGTAATGAATTAAATTTTAAATATTTATTACTATTTTTATTCCTGCTATTTTGTAGAAGCAAATTGTCTGTGTCTTGTTTTGCTATCCTGTAAATGAAACAGCTATACCCATCTAAGCTCTAGCTGGTAATTATGGTTTAGATTTAACGAAATATTTTAAGCCTTTTATTATAATTAAAGTTTTTATTGTGAAAAGAAAGTTATATAAACATATCCTTCAACATCTCCACAGTTCTCAGGAAGGGAAAGTCAAGACTCATAAGCTCGCATGCATAATTCCAGTTTTTCGTCAACACATACGAAATGTCTCTAGATTCAGATTAGATTACCTGAATTAATATTATTGTTAGTGAAAGAATGTTATTAAAACATACTAATATTATGATCAGTATGAAGTTATTATTAGTATTTTCAAAAGATATGCGATTTTTTACAGAACTTCCTAGAAACTATCAATCTGTTTTATCAATTTCTCTTTCTAGATAAAATGATTTTTTCTTATTAATAGTATTTTTTATTCTTTAGATGTACATATAGATCAGTGCGGATAGCTTTTAAAACATAATTAAATTATAGTAGAATGAAACTCATTAGAAAAGTAGGATAATATTATAAAAATTAAAGGAAAAATAATTTACGGGCGATCTGAGGTCGGGAAGGGTATGGGGGTGGGTACTTAAGGGTAAAAAATGGGTTTTCTCGAATTCCAGCAAAACTAAAAGTCCTACGAAAAAATGTTATATCGCAAAGTTGTAGGTAATAAAAAGATCTAAAACTGTTGTACTAACATTTTTTTCACATAACCTCAAAATTTATTTCAAAAATTCAAAAATACAAGTTTTTGGTTTTATATTTTTATCTCATACAAAAAACAATATTTTGTCAAAAAATTTAATGAAAACTTTCCTTTTAATGTTACAAATATACTGTAATTTAGTTGATTAGAAACATTTATTTTTTCAGCTTATTTTGAATAAATACCGAAAAATCAGCCTCATTTTCAATCGAAAAATCACCCATCAAAATATCAGGTATTTTAAAAAAATTGATATATTTTCAATTTGTTGAAATTTCTTTTTTCCGATGGTGAAGAAAAAAATATAAGTTTCTTACTTGCAGCACCATTTTTGGATAAAATAATGATGTCTCTTTTAATGAAATGACACTCGACATCGTTTGGAAAATGCTCTTTCAATTTATTTTTAATAGTTTTAGCAGCTTAATGTAAATTTTCTGTAAATTACCTAAAAGAGGGACTATCTGGAGAACTTCCATAGTGCACAACTAAATATTGGTTTTTGTATGAAATAAAAATATAAAACCAAAAACTTGGTTTTTTGAATTTTTCGCATAAATTTTGAGGTTATGTGAAAAAAATGTTAGTACAAAAGTTTTAGATCTTTTTATTACCTACAACTTTGCGATATAACATTTTTCCGTAGAACTTTTAGTTTTGCCAGAAATCGAGAAAACCCATTTTTTACCCTTAAATACCCACCCCCATACCCTTCCCGACCTCAGATCGCCCGTAAATTATTTTTTCTCTAATTTTTATAATATTATCCTCCTTTTCTAATGAGTTCATTCTACTATAATTTATTGTCACTTTTCATTAATTTTAAAGGCTTCTGCACTGGCCTAATATGTAATTGAAGTGATATGTCTATCACGTAGAACATTATTTCAGTCTGCTTCATATCATCCGGTTGAACTTAAATTTTATTTTGATTGAAGTCCTTTTATATACTCGTATTTCTTGTAATAAGTCCTAACAATTTTGCTGATTGTTTAAGAATGTTATCCATGTAAGGTATAAATAGGATTTGTGATTCCAAATAATTCAACTGTGGGATATTAGTCGAATTTCTCTAAGAAAAGTCCAATATTATTATAAATAACCTTCATTAATTTCCTCTACCATTTATACTTTTATATTAAATAATGTCGTGACACCATCTTATACAGTTATTTAAGATACGTTAGTGTTTTTGTAACATCACACAATCTTTTTGAAACCTAGTGTTTAAGCAGTCGTACACATTATTACGGAAACTTTTTGTGAGGTGGTAGAGCCTAGCTGTGGTCAAATTCATACAGCTCGAACATGGGCTGGCTCGATCGGGGACCCTTTCATAGAAAATCGATTTGAAGTAGTCTTAAATGGCTGCGTTACGTCCCATGAGTGAGAGAGCCAGTTGCCATTTTCCTTTTCCCACCCTTTCCTGTCCTTTTCTTTCCCTCCCTTTCACACATATTCTCCCCCTTTTCCCCAATCAAGGGCAGTAACGCTACTACCTCCATCAGGTAGGCCATCTGCTCGGTTGCTTCCTTTTCCCATAAAAAAAACTTCCAATGTCTACTGGAATATTATTATTTTTTAGAGGTATTAATATAATTATTTAGAGATTTTATTATTATTTGACTGGAATTATCGATTCTCTCAATTACGACTTCTCTCTGTCGTACAAACTTGACAAGAATACAATTTCAAAATACTCTAAGAATTCTAAAATATTTCAAAAACGGATCAATTTTTTAATTTCACTTATTCATGTTAAAATGAGCAAAGAGAACATCTTTAATCTGGTGGTTATTCTCAAAGTTTAAGTGTTGACAAATGACGACGCCTCTGCACCCAATGATTAAAAGCCCTCACTGTGTGGCTTTCTGGAATCTTGTTCTGGTTTTTTTGGAAAGCCTTCTATTGTTACATCATCATCCAATGATAGTCCTATGGGTGACATCGAATTCGCTACATTCAATAATAACTTCAATCCTTCCCCACTATATACCTAGGTTGTAAAAGAATCATGGCAAGCAAAGTCTCATTAAAATATTAATGGTCTTTAAGCTGGAGTCAAAGAACGTTCATGGAACTACAACTAAGAACAATCACTGCAAGTCAAATTGCTGTTTGTAAAGTCAAAGCAAACTGAAGTGGCAGACACTTAGTAAGCTTAATTTCTCTAAGTTTTTTGAGAGATATCCAATATTTTCTTCTTAAAGACTACTTGCTACATTACTTTTAATGTAGTATAGAATAATTCCAACAAGACAGCAGCATTTAAACGAGAATATTATTAAAACTGATTAATTTTACAGGATATTACGGTTAAAAGACGTCACAGCCAAAGCCGCCAAGAAAGTAGGTAAATAAAACGTCGGAAAATATAGATTTGAAATTTATAGGGCCCTTACGTATGAAAAGACTTTAAAAATTTACGTAAAAATAAAAATTTTCATTAAAATTCATCTTTCTAACGGTTATATAGGATTCAAAGAATTTCATAAATATCAGTGTAGTGAATGAAAATTTACCTACAATAAACCTACACCTACAATTCCCGTGGTAGTTTTTTGAACTAACTTTTATTTTTACCATGTCTACCTGTAGTGAATCCACGATTGAAGAACCCGTGTCTTCCGAAAGTTGCTGTTGACATGAAAGTCGATTATAAGTTCACGTGCAATAAAATCCACCATAACTGAAGGTAATTTGCCACTCATTGGCAGATTCGAAATTGAAAACAAGCGTATATAACGATAACGATTTTAATTGTTCCGCCGTATTGTTTTATAAACAGACGCATTGTAAATCAGTGTTTATTTTGATTCGAGCTCAGTTTTTTCCGTCGCTCGCTTATATATTCACTTAGTTCCAGTTGCTCTTTTCATTAGCGTTTTGTCTTTCAATAAAAATGAAGTTTCTAGCCGTCGTCTTTGTGTTCGCGTTTGTGGCAGTACAGGTAATATATCTATAAATATTTTGGTACAATTCACATGATTAAAAAAAAACTTAATAAATTATTATTTTATAAATGCAGTTCAGCCGCTCCGCTCCGACTCCTGATGAAGAAAAAAAGGAGGAAGTAGTCGCCGCCCCCGCCGCGGCACCCGCTGAGGCCGCACAGCCCGCAGCAGAGGTAACTCAGGATTTTAATTGAAACCCTAATATATATTTTACCTTTAGTTTACTTTAGTGACCAAAATGCAAAGACAATACTAGGAACCCTAATTGAATTACTCTATTGAATCTTTTTTTTTCTATTACAAAGGTTTATTTCAGTTATGATGAAAATAATTTTTAAATTATAAACGTGTTCAAAATCTAAATCAATATTAATTTAACAATGTATTTTCTAATTACTAGCCATTAAGTATGTAGCAGCTTAAAACCAAATATTAAAAAATCTTTGATCGTTTTAAGTATTATAAATATTTATATGCATGAGTAGGATTTTCTGTATTTCAAAACGATATTAGTTAATATTTATATAAATATGTTGCCGATTTAAGGCTAGAAATTTAATTCAAGTAATTTGTAAATATTTAAAAAATATTTTTTTAGGTTTATCGGTACCGCCGCACTAAATTGAGTTTACCTTTAAAAACCCGATTTTAAATATATTAAATCGGTAGTCTATATATTAAAATTATTTTTAAAACATATTTCCAAATTCCTTTTAAATTTGCCATTTTCTATTATATCAATATAATTTATTTGATACTTAAAAGTGTTCTGTTCGTTACAATACACAACATTAAAGTTTTAAAAGTACGCCTCTATTCACTTTTAATAATATAAAAAGTCGATGCCATAGACGTAACAAAAAAATCTATTCCTATCAAAATCAAATTACAAATCCAATAATCTAAACAACTCCAGCGTGGATAATACAAATCTATAATCGATTAATCATGAGTGCCGGAAAAATTAATTGGCACTGCCATTTCAATTTCTTGATAGCTGTGACTTATGAATCATTTAATTAAAATACCTACATATGGCAACATTTTTATTTATGACGCAATTTGTTTTGATTTATGACACTTAATATTATTTGACAGGCTAAATCCAGTTCTGACCCCGCACCCGCCCCCGCTGAGGCCGCACCAGCTGAACAGAAGAAAGATTGATCTTACCCGCCATTATTATACACAAATTAAGTATATTATGTAATACTTTTGTTAATAAAGCCATAGACGGATTTATTGGATAGCATTCCGCAATAAAACACCACTAAGCAGGTTATTGTTGTTTTTTTATTCGATTTCCTTCACAACTATATTAATATATAACTGTTGTTTTAGCTGAAAAGAATATATGACATTGTCTAAAGGTAAAGAAGCCTTTTTTTTTTCTTAACAATACATAGGTATTAAAATACTCCTTTACCCAGAACTTTAGTCAATCTTGATCGTTCCTGCCTGTATTAATACTTAAACATTGACATCGTCAAAATCAGTGTTGGCAGTTGACATATTAATCTTGCTTGCTGTTAGATGGGTACCGTTTAAGTTTTACAACTGCAATGTAAGAACGGGGTAATTTTTCATTCATACATTTTTGAATACGATACTATCAAGATAGGTGTTTTAATGAAGAGCTGAAAACTGTGGGTGTTTAGCTTCACGAGATAAATCAATAGTAGGGGTCCTGAAATAAAAATAGCAAGTACTTCTCACTTGATTTTCCCTTATCGTCCAAATTCCAAAATATGCCGTACAGCTTCCTTAGTAAAGTCTTAAACTGGGCTTGACTGTACGTTTAGTCTTTTAATTGCAAGACTAATACGAGACCGAAATTCAGTTATTTCTCATTATCTACTTTATAATTGCCTTACTATTTATAGCCTACACAAATATTTTTTTAATTTAATTACTCTATATAAAATTTACTATAATACATATAATCTTAACTGGCATTTCTATTAATAGACTTGGTGTATCAATATTTTACGGTACTGTTCGCACCGGATAATGAAACGAATGTTGTCTTGTAACAACATAAATGCTACTAACTCACTAGATACAGAATCCGCATCTTATAAATAGGAATATGAAAATAAAAATATGACGGCCATATTTACATCACACGAGCCGTTGGTTTTATCAGATATGACAGTTGCATGCACGCCATGTAAATGAGCAGTTTTTACTTTATCTAATACAACAACTAAACCTACCTTGTTTTATTCTTACTTACTAACATACTTTTAATCATACATTACGAAATACAAAATGTTTACAGATATTTAATATGTTATTTGATTCACGATTTGGTAAAAATGTTAATTGTAACATCCATCAACTTAAAAGCTATCATTTTCGACCATTATAATAGTATAAAACTAACAATTTCGACTACTTGATGCATATCTATATATATAAAAATGAATTGCTGTTCGTTAGTCTCACTAAAACTCGCGAACGGCTGAACGGATTCATCTTATCTTAGTCTTGAAATGTTTTTGGAGGTTCAGGGAAGGTTTAAAAGCTAAAAAAAATTTAATCACATCCGGGAAAACCCTAAAAACAGCGTTCTTCTATTTCCCATACAAACGGTTTTTTTTGACATTAGATTTGACAACTAACTAATATGTCAATCATTCTGTCGCACATCAGAATTTGGAGTTTTATGGCTTAAAGGTAAACTCCAAAAAAATAAATAAAAATTATTTATTTATTGATTTAGGCAGTATGAGGTCTGCCGGGTCAGCTAGTATTCCATACAAATCATCTAAATTTATTTTCTTTTATAATATGGCCTTCATCCGTGCAGAAAAGAAAATCATCTAAAGGACGACATACAAATCAAGTGTTGTATGTAGGAAACATTGACATAAATGAGAGCAAAAACTATGCATGTTTTGTGTTCGCTTCCTTAAGCTCACTCGTCAAAGAAACTGAGTTGGTTGTCAAATGAAATTTTATAGGGGACTATTTAATCAGTCGGTATACCGATCAAATATTTTTTCCCCATTTTGTTATTATTTTCTTTAAATGAACAGTCAGTTTTCATGAACAGTCAGTGGTTGCCTAATGGTTAAAGGGCCCACCACGTGCACGAGGGCGCGGATTCGATCCTGGCAAGTACCAATGTGATTTTTCAGAGCCATATGTACCTACTTTCTAATAGTATTTAGACACCACTGACAGACGATGAAGGAAAACATCGTGAGGAAACCTGGACTTACAATTTCACAATTATAAGTTTGAGATCACCAACCCGTCTTGAGCAAGCGTGGCGATCAATGCTCAAAACCTTCTCCACGTGAGAAAGAGGCTTTGACTCAGCACTGGGCTCTGATAGGTCGATGACGTGTTATATTTGTCTTTCTAAGAGCAAGTGAATAAATTTTAATAAGGTAATTAGTGAATTTATGAACAAAGCGTGGAAAATTATAACTGTCGCCTCGGTACTGTTGATGCATGTTTAACGAAATTACATAATAAAATTAAAATAATTACAAAGGGTAGGTGTGTAACTAGTTCTAAAAAAAAGGCAATGTAACTCGTTATTTTAATAAAAAGTATTATGAAAGGTATTATTATATTCAGATTTAAAAAATTGTCATAAAGCAGTTGCTTTGTGTGCTGTTGTCGATTTATTACCTAAATATGATAGAAATGTTCCGTTCCATGTACAGTCAACATCGAGTATTTCATTCACGGGGTTATCGAATGGGATTCAAAATTATTAAATTTCTGGTGTTGTGTCTGTAATGTTGAAATAATAAATGAATTTGTCACAACAATGTTCGATGGAACTCTTGACGCTAGTGGTTATAAACAGCTCGTAATCCTTTAAAGGTCCTTTCGTGGCCCAGAGGTAGTGGTTAGATTTGTAGAATATCTAACTATACATTTTTGCGCGAATATTATGATTGTTTTAGAGGAATGTAATTGTCTAAATAAATTAAATTCTCAAAGTTATGATAAGGCAACGGTTTTTATATCCGAAAATAATTGAGTTTTATTTAAACATACTTTTGTTTTATTAATGAACTTGTTAAAACATAAAATGCCGACATTGTATGTCTGGTGTTCAGCCCATATACTAACTTAATCTTATTCTCTCAAAACTTTTGGACGAGTTTTTGACTCCAAAAGTTTTTTAGTATAGGTCGGGTAATAACAAACAAACATCCAATGATCATCATCCTAGACATGCGTTTGAATTCATTAGAAGGCGCTGAAATTATGATAAAAATAAGTATTTTTTTTGTTTGTATGTTTGGTCAGTCTCAGTAAACTTTATGAAAACTTGTTCTAAGCGTAGCAAACTTAAAACATTTATATTTCCCCTTCTTGGTACAAAGCTATGCAGTATTTATGTGTTTGGATCAAACAAATACATATTCTGACCTGTACTTAACATGCACCCATCGTCTTAATAATGGGATTTATAATATACTTCTGTACTTTTTTTATCAGTTCGATTATATAAAAAATCTAATAGCCATAGCGCAATAAGAGTAGGTATATTTGTAAAGTGAATAAAATCATTGTAAAACATATATATTTTGAAATAAGTTGAAAACTTTTTGGTAATAATATTAAACTATCAGTCAAGGTGATAAATAAATCATAATAGTCATAAAATATATTATTTAGTCTGTGGTGAAGAACAATATATCTCTGACAGAGGCGCGCGGCAACTCCAGTCCCAGTGGCGCCGCGCTTTGGATGTATAGCGTCACCTGTCAACGTAAAAAGATTTCATTATAATAACCCACTAAAGGTACTTAATTTCTGTTCTAGAATAAATAAATGTGCTTTAAATTTATGTTACATAGGTCTAAAATTTTGAGTGTTAGGTTAAAAGATCATACGTGTGCTCCTAAGCCGTAAATATTGACATTAGTATATGTAAACATCTATCAAGTGTACCGACAGGTCTAGGCAGTGTTGCCATATTGAAAAATAAAGTTTATTATATTGTTTTAGTAATTAATCAATTCGATTTAAAGTAAACTATAATAATATAACCTGTTGCGGGTTATGTCTACTGGACTCCCCAGACAGCGGCACTGATCTCGGTTCGCGGGACGATTCCTTTCTCTTTCTTTTGTTACTGTATCGACGAGTCTCACTTCGTTTACGGACGGACGCCGTTTGAATTGTATCTGATAGGTTAAATACATAATACATTTGTATATACTGATGTACATAAAGCGTTTTAAAACATAAATATCATTAGTAAATTTCTTGGGTTTTGTATGAGGGGATTTTCGTTGATATTAATAGTAAATTTCGTTCATATTACACATACGCAAACAATACGTATCGAAAAGATTTGGAAACAAAGTGTAAAAGTCTAAACTTTATACGTAAATTAAAATTCAACAAAATGTCAACAGAAATTAAATATGATTCCGATTGCAAAACTTCAAAAAGTAAAAATATTGAATATTTAAGACCCGCTTCAATGAATGTGTTCTTTTTTTAATCAGTTGTTTATGATTATTGGACAATAATTTGAATAAGGATTATTAATATTATTATTATTACAATACCTTCTTCGTCAGGCAGCGGCGGCGGTAAGGGTCGCGGGGTGGGGGGCCGTGATATGTTCGCTCGTTTCGTTTCTATCAAACGCATCATACACTCGAGAACTGCTTGCTTTCCCTGGAACATCAGTTATATTAGTCGTTTATTTAAACCTTAACGATTTGAGTAAATTGCTTTGAAAAAGCAACTTTTTTATTCTCCCACTTATTTTAAAGATTTTGGCTATATGTCTGAGAATAAAAAATAAACATAGGTACCTACTTATTGATGATTTCTATATACTACATATTAATATAAATTATATTATAAAACACAAACACATTATCGTACTATCTGTATTCAACTAATTACTTTTCAATTTACGGCTTTTTGTTTGTGATAGTAACAGGCTCACACAAATTACAATATATGTAAAAGTAAAGAGTCTATTGAAATAGCTGTTAGTGAGACTATACATTATATATAAAGGTTTATCTAAACAAATATAAGCATTTCATTTAATTTTTTAACGAAAACAAACTAAAGAAAATCTAATAGCTACTATATGTGTATCGCAACAAGTTCATATCAATTAAATGAAACTAATATTTTCGGATTTTACTTCGCGTTTTATTTTTGATCAGAAACTACATACTCCCGTGATCACGGTTGCTGAACAGTAACCGAAACGTCGGGAGTATGTACATAGTTTCTAAACAAAAATAAAACGCGAAGTAAAATCCGAAAATATTAGTTTCATTTAATTGAGTACTCGCGAAAATCTTAGATCTCATTAAGTTCATATCAAACTACAAAATAACTAATAACGAAATAACTTATAAATTGTATGTCCAACACACCCTAACTTCCTCTATAAGAGGCTCGAAGCTCGCGGGGTCGCTGGAGTCCTTGACCGCCTCCCAGCTCTTAAACAACTTGCGGTCAGACGCACGGACTGAACTTTCCAACTCACGTAATTCTAATGATGATAATTTATTTATAAAGCTTAATATAACAGCTTATTACTGTACGACATGGTCGTACCATTATTACTATTCTTTACAAACATTTATATCCATAGAAACAGCAAGTGGTGAAAGACTTGAAACTAGAGTTATGACTTATCAAGCCCAAGCAGCAAAACAAATCACTGGTGAATTAACTTACATTTTTGAAAAAATGATTCATTATCAGAAATTTCAATCAAAGATAACTTCCAAACTAACTCAATCAATACTCTACTTTTTATAATCTTCTTCTACCTGGCAATTTCCTAGCTATAGCCAGGGTCTGCTTTACATGTTGTGAATAGTTTTGGCTAATTGTTTTTACGACCGGCCGCCTGCCTGACATCAACCCTCTTTTCCCAAAGACTTTTTACTCTACTCTTTATAATATGATAGTATAATCAATAGTGTTCAAAAACTAAGAATCTATATATTATCCTCCTCACCCGAATCTCTAAGCCGTGCCAACCTCGCCGTGAGCGCGACCCTCTGTGCCCTTAAAGCCTTCCTCTGTACCTTAGCTCGTGAGGCTGCCTCCAACGCGTTCCGAGCCTCGCTCGCCAGGGAAGACACCTCGCGAGCTTCACGCTCCAGACGACGTTCCAACTCACTGACATAATATATTACAACAAGCAATCATAAACGATGTATTTTAAGACGGTGAGCGTTCGTTACTCGAAATACTAGCTCGTTTATAGGGAGATTCAACAATTTATAGAACATTAAAATAACTATGGAAGCGGCCGATAACTGACTCCAAATAATATGACTGAACTCTTGTCCCTTTGGACTTGAAAGACTAAAGTTCTCCACATTTCCTTTTTTCCATACTACTTATTCAGTATTAGGTTGGGAAGAAGGTCAGTGGCTGACGGAAATACGTTTGGACAAATTTCCTGCCTGAATTAATTAGTGTTGACATTCATCCGTCATTCCTTATTTGTACCTAGTTAATGTAAGTGAAAAACTCTGATTGGCTATCTTTCTAGTGTAATGTAACATAAATCAATCGTTCACCTCGGATATTCCCCCGTGACCTTGGCGTAAGACTGTATATTCCTGATCACCTCTACCAAGTGATGAAGCTGGCTGCAGAACTCCGGCAACTGTTCCGGTGTCAGATACTGGCCACCGTACCTTAGAATTACGGTTCAGGGTTTTAAAGAAAAGGCATTATTGGCATCAATTAATATATTATTTCAACTCTCATACATATTTCATTTGAAAAGGATACATTATAGCAGATTCAAGTAAAGTATACATTATGGACACCAAAGGATTTATCCTCTGAGGAATTGCATGATATTTCGATAAATCATAGATGTAGCCAAATAAGTAATACAGTAGTCCAACCTTAAGTCGATGTTGGCGGCGAACTGAGCGTCGTCGATAGTAGAGGCGCTGGACCCAGGGCCTTGAGGGACCTCGGCCGTTTCTGACGAGTTCAGACCCGGGTCTTCGTCATTGGTGCTGCCACAACCTATACTCTCACTCATACTAACAAAACAATACGATATCATTATTAAGATCATCTACTAACTAAACTTGAACGTAATATGTATCTTAATTTTTCGCAGGTATACGTTTAAATATGTAGAACTGTCTTCCGGATTTGGTTTTATTTCATACAACACGTTCTAAGTTCAAGTTCTAAGAACATACATATTTCTATTTCAATTAAGTTCAGTGGATTCGCTCAAACATAACAAAATATATTTTCTCATTGAATTATTTTATGATAATTTTTAAGATTTGGTCTAGAACGTTTTAAAATGTTAATTATTTTATGTACCCGGTGGAGGAGAATGAGAAATTTTTGTCCAGAGCGCTGTGTCGACTCTCTCCTCTCAATTTTCCCAACAATCGACTCAACAGCCGGGACTGTCTCCCTGATCCGTCCATTCCTTTGCTGTAGTATTGACCCGTTAACACGTCTGCACTTCCACTCACGAACTTGGAATCAAACTTGACTATGAGACGTACTTAAGATATACAAGTTACTTTTTTATTATAATTGTGAATCGGATTTAGTTATTTGATTTTTATTTCTGTACGAAAAACTTCTGAGGTTAGGAAAAGTTATATTTTACTGTAGGAAAACAATACTGAGAGCTATTGTTAGTATTAATTGTGAAGTTTGAAATACAAATGCAATTTTTTCATAAGAATTTGAGATATATAACTAAAACTTATTTTCAAAGAAATATGCTTCACATTTCAAGTTACCTTATTGCGTTTCGTTTGTAATGAATCCTGTCTGCTTCTAGGTATTAGATTGTTTACGGAAATTTTGAGATATTTAAAAATTTTATGGAACATGAATGATCATTTTTGTCTGGTTTTTGTTAAGTTTTAATTGTCTCTAAAATATCGTCATTGTTATTTTTTGATGGACCGTTCGTTTGACGTTACAGAGTATAAACGACACAGATCCTTCGCAGACTAACAACATAGAAGAGGTCGCATATACGGACTCTTTGAACACATTTCAAACTTATATCCAATATTATTTATGAACTAAAATGTCTACGGCCTTCAAAATAAAACAACCACAATTATTTATTGCATTTTAATTTATATAAAAATACAATTATCATTATTAATATACATAATCGCATTTGCCAGCACAGGCATACAAAAACTAATAATAAAAAACGCTACAGAAAATTGCTACAATAATGTTAAGTACTTTAATTTGAGGCACACGTCAGTCTGTTAACAAAGCCACTTAAAATCACATTTCTCGAAGCTTTCGATATAGACTCGTCCCACCTAAAGGGCTGAGCGGGCATCACTCGCCGCGTCACACAATACATGGCATTGAAAACAGAATCAAACTTATTTGAGATACAACCGTCGAATTAATTGTAGGGATTGACGGATATTTCAGTTCATAACCGATTCACGGACAACAGTCGGTCACGTCACCGGTTTTTCGTCTGTACATGTAACAACCCTAATTTCAGTGGGACGCGTCTCACGTCACATATTATGCCATAAATTCAAACATTTTAAAACAACACGCTCGGTCCACAACGTGAGGGAGAGGCGGAGGCCGCGGAAGCTAAATTATAAACTAAACTAAACCCTCGACTGAATGAGTCATATAAAGAAATACGATAGTAAGGAAAGTATTGCGACTCGAACGAACCGAACGGACCGAGCGGACCGCGGCCCGACTAGCGACCTCTGGGGTCGGACACGCATTAATATGTACACACACAACACGGCAGCATCGACGCATTACACGATAGAAAATATGACGGTCGATATTACGTTAGTTACTATAGTGATATATGTTAGTATATTCATATATAGAGAGGGTCCGATACTGTATGCGTGGAGTGTCTGTCAACATATTAATGTCCAGAACATATTAATGTTCACGAGACAAGCGTTACCACAAGCCGGACGAAAAGCCCCCGGGGGGAACACGAACACGCTTTGGGGCGTCAACTTTAGGTTCAGTTGGAGTAACAGCTTTAGGGCTAGCTGATTTCTCAGCTACTTCCACGGGTTTAGCTTCTACGGGCGAGGGCTGGGCTTCTACGGGAGAAGGCTGCACGGGAGCGTTTGCTTGACCGTTCTGATTGGGGGTCGTAGCCCCGTTAGTGGGTCTGGCTGGTTCGTCACCCTGACCTGGAATATGACAAAATAGTATATTTAAAAAAATTATTTATATAACATACCGATCAAATCTGCTCTATTTCATACTTTCGTCTTATTGTTTTGAAAATTTATTTACAATCAAACAATTTTTTTGACATGTTCTTGGCAATAGTGAATCATGTACAGTAACAAACATCTCTATTTATCTAACACAAAATTTAACAAAAATTTTCACTATATAAAAATACCTAATTGATATTGATTTTTTTTGACATTAATTATTCTGTAGGAGCATTATACTGACGAGTTTAAAGCACTTAATCAGACACTAAAAATGTTATACATAATATTTAAAAATGCTCTTACATTTCTACACAGACATTTACCAACACTGCCTAGAATTACCACGAGCATTAAAATAAAAAAAAATCGAATCAAAACTTATCAATCCCTTTAAAAGCTACAATGTCACAGACAGACGCACAAACATGGACGTTAAACTTATATTATACCTGTTTTTGCGTCGACATTTAAAAAGCCATTATAGCATGTATGTTGTTATACAGGGTGACTGGTGAATTACTATTGATATTTGAGGACGTGATATTTGACGATCATATATGACAAAATAAAAATTAATATAACATAAATATTAATAAACTTCTAAGTAAAGTTAACCAAAAGTTATGTAATTAATTACGCATCGTGTGAACACCCTACAGATTAGGTATACACTCACACTCACACATACGCGTGTCGCGACGTGGTGTTGTATCAGCACGCCGCCGCACGCGTCCACACTTGAACACTTGGAACGTGTCAACACTTTACTTATTTATACGGAAATTTTGTCAAAAATTAAGTGCCTATTTTTTTTACATAATTCGAATGAGAATCATGTACCGAGTATTCTCCTTAAATATTGATAGTAATTCATCAGTCACCCTGTATAAATTGAAAGATTCTTTAGATGTAAATTAATTTGTAGCGAACTTTATATACACAATACATACAACACATTAAATATCTTCGTATATGAATATAATTTGCTAAAGAGACGAAACTTCTCATCATTCCATGTATTCACGGTGCGGGTGTCGGATCCATCGTTGTAGTGAGAGGAGCTTCAACAGTGACTCGGACTTGCGACCCAGGTGTAGGTTTAAGGGGCCCTATCTAACGCGCGTTATACGCTCACCTCCACAAACCAAGCTCCTTTCTCTACTTAACCAAATGAACTTCTTCAAATGTCTACCAACCGTGTTGTATATGATCGACGAGTGCGGGCGCGGGGCGGCGTCCCCGTGGAGGTTCGGGCTCCCCGCCGAAGATGTCCGTGTGACCTCCGCCGGGAGGGCGAAGCACCCGGCTAGAAGACCGCACGCCGTCACTCAAACCCACATTGAATGAAGTTGATGTCATATTGGATCTGTTAGCTGGGGAGAATATACACGTTTAATGAATTATGTATTAAAATATATAAACTAAACATTACTCAAGAAGTAGAACAAACAGCGATTTCCTCAATTATATATAATGTCCGTAAAGTAAGTACGGACTGTAATTATATATGGTAAACAATATAATTATCCACAGTTTGTCGTATTATAACTCAGACCACTACTCTTTCTACCAATCATACCAAAACACATGCAGACAATCCTAGCGGCCGGCTCCATATTGATACTTAACATTTGATTTAAACAACAATACTTCATGCACATGCATATAAAATTAGTACATTAATCACTTCGTACCACTGTCAGTAAGTTAATGACAATAATATGATCGTTAATTTCAATTTATTAATTGTTTCCTTTAACCGAACCTTACATTCAGACATGATTTTAATACCTCTATACTCAAACTAATATATAATGGCTCAAACTTATCTGTAGTTTCATATAGTGGTACTAACACATAATGCAAGCAAAAACTATGCTTTGTAGTCTCGACTGTAACGTACTGGCGTGCACCTAGCAACAAAGTTTGTACACTAATGTACGAAAAACCCGTCGTAATTGCATACAATTTACATTCACTATCCACTAATTGGCGAGCCGTACCCGTGGGGTTATATTGATCCTTTAAAATGAGGGGTGCCACCTGTTACTACTCACTGGAGGGACAGGTGCAATGAACCACGAAACCGCTTCGTGTAAACAGACAGACTGCCTTACACGATAAAGTTTCGCATGCGATAAAAATACTGATATATTTATGTGAATTCTTTTAACATCATTATAGTTTTATTATTCACTAACTTTCCGCCCGCGTGGAGGTCGGTTATATCGCGTTTCCAAGAGAACCTTTTAAAATTGTAGGATAAAAACTATCCTATGTTGGTTCTCAAGGTCAACTACATCTCTGTACCAAATTTCATTAAAATCAGTTCAGTGGCTAAGGCGTGAAAGCGTAACAGACAGACAGACAGAGTTGCTTTAGCATTTTTAATATTAATAGGGATATACAGGGACATATTCTGTTCCTTCAGTAATATTTAGTGAACGTATTGATTTTTTCATGTGTTGCTAGACAAAAGACCCGTCCCAAAAACTCGGCTATCAGACATCGGTCTAGTCACGAGTGTAATTTCACCCACACGTAGCTGTTAAAATCGTATTAGGCAGCAATTATGTACAAGCCTCGACTATATATACTTATATAAAAACACTAAGGGACTAGTAAGGTTAATGATCAGGTATGTAAAGCAGCTATAATAAATATGAAAACTTTATGTCTCAATAAAAATTAAAATGACGTCGATGTACGGGCATATGTAAATTATACATGTTCTGTACTACACTTAAACAACATCTTGATTTGTATTTTAAACTTAACAAGGCTGTACAATAACTGAATATAACCGACAGCTACATAGTTAATAATACTTCTTTAATAATGATTGAAATGATGTGAACACGTCAAAATTGACAGTCTGACGTTATGGTCAAGCTCGTACTAATGGTTAGTACAGTCAGTTTGACGTCATTTCTTCCTTAAACAATATTCGCAGGTCCATATAGCTTTTCCTATATCCGTTATATTATAATACAATGTCACAGCTCACCGTACCTATAAGGGTAGCTGGTACTGCCATATTAACTATCAATGCGTCTCCAACGCCCAACACTGAATAATGTATTGTTGGTACAGACGAACGAACTAACAACTATATTCATTAATGATGATAATTATTAAAATAAAGTTTCACAAATATTTTCCAAACATTTGCTTTATAAAAAAAAAAAAATAACTTTCCGCCAGAAGTTTCGTCCGCGTGGAGTTCGGTTATATCGCGTTTCCAAGAGAACCTTTCAGAAGTTTGTGATAAAAACTATCCTATGTTCTTTCTCAAGGTCAACTCTATCTCTGTACCAAATTTCATTAAAATCAGTTCAGTGATTTAGGCGTGGAATCGTAATAGACAGACAGACAAGAGTTACTAAAGCATTTATAATATTAGTAGGGATAACCGGTTAATAATTGTAGTTACTTATAAAACTTCACTAGCATTATAGTTTATGCCAAAAATAACCCTTTGAAAGAGATAAAACAGACACATCGTAGGTACATAAACCTAAAAACGACCGATATATACTATATAAAGCTTAGTTCATACAAGTAGCATTCTAAAGCCTATTGAAAAAACTACTTAAACCCATAATAGATGCACCAAGCACACTTATAGTAAATATAACTTGTAAGTGTATTTTTAATCAAAGTAAATATGAAGCTCTTCTAAGTGTATTTTTAATATAAACCTGTACATACATATGTACTGTTAATAATACACTAGCGGCTAGTGGAGTCATCTCAAGTGTAAAGACAGCGGCGAATACCGTTATAATAGCCGACCATACTGTTTTGTTATAAATAGTTTTTTAATGTTATATGAAATCTCTAAGCTAAAGCTAATACTAAGCCTTTATTACTATTTTACTTTAACGTTGAAAATTATTAATAAAATCTTAGTCCTGTAGAACTAATGAAATATGAATTCAATTTAAGATAATAAAACTTTTTTTCAATAATTTAATTTTTTTTGCACCCCCCGCGATGGTGGATTTATAACTGAAGTCAGGTTAAATACTTGTATAATATATATTTTTTACTATTTTTCCTTTAATTTTACTAAAACACAAAGTTCATCGTCTACATGTATTTAAAATAAATCTTCGAGACAGCTCCATCTCTTTCCTATTGCACTATCTCTCTCACACACGTTTATTGCCTGTACTTATATAAAATATTAAAAAACCTCCATAGTCATAGGATAATCTATTATTACAATAGATGAATCACAATGAACAAATAATTTTCTCGTTAATACAATATCAGTAGTAATTTCTATTTGTAGACGTAATTTGTACGTTTATATAAAGGGTGAAGCGTAACTACTATATGACTCATGAATTTATATCAGCTTATTCATTTACGATAAGACTCGGGTCAAACCACAATTCGTTTGCTTTCAAATAATATTATAAAGATCTCGGAAATATATATCCTCTTAACGATGGAAGTAACTTGTTTTATATTATACATATGCAGATGACATGAAACTTGACAGTGGAAAAATGGCGGGATACGTCCAGAAATATTAATATAGTTTTTTACACTACTAAAATAAAATATAGATTAAATATATCCTCTAATTAAGAGTCTATAAGTCAAAACATATTTATAAATATTATGAACACGGAAAAATATTGAAAAAAAAATGTCGTTGCTTTCAAAAACTATTCCCAATCAATGTCTGAAATATTTTGTAATGATTTCCAAGTGTGAGAATCAGGCCGTGTGAAGTATCAACAATAATGTGTGTAGCTTCTCTCGTTTTATAATTAGCTTGATACTTAAACCTTTAATTTGTTTGTATTTTCGTACTTAAGTATTGATAAAGAAATATATTAAATACCAAAATATACAAAATAGTGATATTTGAGGGAGAAAATCTAATACGTAGGTAATTAATTCGTAATTCTATTTGTAAATATCACCCAAACCCATTGTATGTTGTATGTGAAAGCAAATTCTAGAAAGTTCTTTTTTCACTTTTTCAATAGATGGCGTCGATGGAAGCGTATTTCATGCGGTCGGCTATTACACGAGAAATTCAATTGTAAAAATGTTCATTGACCGTAGCGGTCGTTCACTTGTTGCAAAACTATTAACTATCTTCCTGTCAGTCGTATTTAATATAATCATTAACTTGTGCATTCAAATAATGTAACCAAAAACTAAGTGTTGCCAACCATTGTAGAAGCAAACAAAAAAAACAATTCACCGGTTCCCCAAAAATAAAAAAAGCTAAATAATATTCAAACAAAACACTTGTATAAAAAATATACGGATCATATTTACCCATGATATTTGTTAATTCTTCTCTTTGGTTCTTTAAGATTTTCGCTGATATCACCGCTTATTTATCGCGGAAAATCTTGAGTCTGTTCGAGAGAAAACATTACGTTCAGCAGTTTTTACTTAACAAGAATAACATAAAAATATACTAAGCAAAAATATTACAACCCTGGAAAATGTATATATATGTATTGAACAAAAATTAAATAAAATAATTAGTATAACGTGACAACCCTAGCAGTAAACCGGAAACAATCACATATATAGTGGAGAGATCGCGCGTGTGAATCTCAATACAACAAGGTCGTTCTAACAGACGGATGCTGTGATTGGACCGATTGTGTCTAGGAATGTATGAGACTTCACTAAATATTCTATTGATTCATTAAGCAACAACAATGGCTTTAATACGACGGTACGGGCCCCTACACTGAAACATAGGTACGAGCGCAAAAAATATTATCGGATTATACCAAATCGGACATTCTAAGGCTTGCTTGATACGTGAATACAGACGAAAAGCTTATTTAGTTACGGTATAGAGTTACACGAAGCCAGGAAACATGATAGTGTTGCAAATATGGCATCACAAGGAGAATGTATTACAAAATCTTCCTTGTTAGACTAAATACTTAAATGGACAAGCCGGAGGTCACCGCATACTCTTAGAATGATTACTATAGTAATGTTGATATAAAGTATGAAGAGATTAAAGTTATATACAAACACATATATATGTATATAATTACATCTGGGATATTACATTAAGTTTAGTTTTAGTATATTTCCAGATTAGAAGACAAACTTTGTACATTAAAAAAATTTATATATATTAAGAATAAGAAGTTGATGAAAATATTCTAAATACTTGTGCCGACATATTAACTAAGAATCTGGTGAAAACAATTGTGAAAAAAAAATACTGTTTGAATTCCATTCATTTACTTTAATAGATAACAAAAGTTTTGTTATGTTTAAGAAAGGGATACTTTATAAACCTAAACTTGAAGCTTAATTATATGTGTAACTGAATTTTATTGAATTAACTAAAAAAATCTCCACAATAATTGTCATGTAACAACTATACTGTCATTAAATAATTTATATGCCGGCAATGCCTTTCTTCTTTTAGCTTATACAGTTATATTGCTGCCCAAATATTAACCACACATAGGTTATGTTCTTGCAATATTTGTTTTTTTCCTAATGTAAGGTATTTCTAATAATATAAAATCTAAATAACTGCGACAACTATTCTGGCAAATTGTTTTTAACCATATGGAATATTTTTTTGTATTATGAGCTGTATGATGTCTGAAAATAAATATATAAGAAATAGTACAAAGAATCTGCTTTTCAAGTGAAAAAATATTTTGAAATTGATTGACTTTTTTGAAAGCTAAGATGCCGCTATCAAACACACAAAACTATAACACCATACTTTCTATCTAGGAGAGTTAATAAAACCATATTTAATACAATCTTATAATATTCTGTATAAAAACTGCCACTAAATATATAGATTTATATTACATTTTCAAAACAAAACAATATTTTTATTATTTACATTGATGAGCTTTAATAACAAAATGAATATACCTTATTTTCCTGTATTCAAAGTTTTTAAGTCTATTACAAAATATCTTCCACATAAAAATAATATTTTGTTATCTTTTGAACTTTTATTTAATATTGTTGATAATTGTTTTTTAAAACATATAGTACATACAGATTTCTATTCCTATCAAATGTTATAATTACAGGTAACTTACATAAACAGGATATAAGATTGATTAAATTAATATTTGTCTAAATAAGTTGCTTAATAATTTTCTAGCTTCAATAATAAAACAATGGTAAGATCTACACTATGACTCATGCGACACACTTCAGATGAAAACTTAGAATTCATTGACTAACATTATAATTTATCTTATACTAATTTAGATATATATTTATTAAACTAAAAGAAAATAGAAATAATAGCTGAGATAAGATAAAACAAACATAATTGGGCTTTTAACTCATGATGATAAAAAAGTATGGCATTCATATAAAATATTTCTTGTTATTTTATCATTTAGATTAGAAAATGAAAACATCAAGAGAAAACAATGTTAAAGTATTTCTAACGTTTCGCGATAGTCTAAAGATGTCAAGAGAAAAAAAGTTTTCCTTGAAATGAGACATCAATCCGAACAAAGAACGATCTCACTTATGTGACTGCTGCTCTTAAATCACGAAATATATAAAGACTACTCGTACGTATTTGAACATTAGGGAAAAAAGTGCATTTTGCGGTAAATGCGCAAATATGTTAAAACCGCCCATCGTACGCAAGTAAAAGCACATTGACCCTACATTGAAAAATAACGGCTCCTATCTAATATCCCGGCCGGCGAATATCGTTATACCTCGATGTTATTAAGCTGCTACGTGCATACAATTAATATAAACATTAATGGCGTAATGTTTATTCTTAAAATACATTTGAATAAGCAATAAAGAAATTAAGAAACTAAAACATATAATACTCACCTCCAAACGGTTTCCTCCTTTTTAATAGAATGAATTTACAAAGAGACACTATCAAGTCTGTCACAATGCAGTGTTGCAACTATGATTTTGGAATTTGTACTGAATTTGTTCAAAATTTATGAGATTTTGTAGTAAAACTATACATTAAATATATTACCTATTTTTAATTAAGCTAGACATTCCATTAAATATAACTTATTTTTCCAATTTGTTTATTTTTAAATTATAATGGAATATTAATATTTTTTCATCCAATTATGCCTTGAAATCATATTTGAAAGTACTTTAACATAATATATAATTCTTTTCCAAGATTCTTTATATAAATTTTGATTATGGAATAAGTTCCATACAAGTATGTTGGCAACATTTACTAAAGATATTAACATAATTTTGATTTGGTGGGATAATTATATTGTGAAATAACTATATTTGGTTCGAGAAGAATTTATGTTATAGTAAGTTGTTTATAATAATACTTTTTGTTAGAACACCTATTTTTATACATGACTAGAGTTATCAAGTATAAAGCTTATTAATATGAAAATTGCGTTAAAAACCCAAATCATATTATAGTTTCAGATCGGGGGTACATTCTATAAAATTTGATAAGAAAAAATATACAAAGCTTATGCATTTTTTTATTGGTGAATTAAACAGCGGGACAACCGTTGTTTAGTTATATTTAAAAACTTATTGTCGTCTTGACAGAACTTGTCATTCGTTCTTCCTAATATTATCTTTTTTTTTCATACAACTATATTAATAAAGTTGTATTCGCAATATTATCTTGTCTTTGAATATAAAAAACTGAATATAATGTTTAAATTTATAATGATTAAATAAACTTGACAGTATTTTATTCGTGAAGTACAAACATTGAGTTTAGAAATTTTATTCACAATTTTTATTTTTTCACTAAATGATATTTGATAATATTGATAGTCCCACATTTAATCTACATGCTTTTAAGTTAAATATGTAATACATGATTTTAATTTAATAATATAAATGTTGACACATGATTGATCGATAATTTTGTATCGATATATTGCAAGATCAGTTCTCACCTTACTGTCGACACTGTCACGTTACTGAACTGAAGTATTTTAAGTCAACGTTTTCCACCCTTTGCGATATTTGATGCCTATTTGTTAAAATATTTTTTTCTACTTGTTTAGGTAACTTAAATAGAAAATTTCATAATCATTTGTATAATGGAATCTACTGAGGAAGTAAATCAAGATAGCGGAGAGAAAGTATTAGAGGAAAATAAAGCAATTGTAAGTATAAGAATTCTATTTATCCGGCTTCGATTTAAAAATAGATATAAAATAATATCAGTTTACGGTTTAGGAGTGATAGACACGCTGAAGGGAGTAACATTTTAACTCTTTTTGATTTATAGAGAGTTATTAAATGGCTATATGTTTAAAGTTAGGTTTAATTTTGAGTTCTTTAACAGGTAGACTACACACCACTTGGCTCAAAGCCAGTTACAGATGTTTACGATATTTTTGTCCGGAAGCACGTTCTTACGTATTGTTCAATTATGGTATAGGATAACCTGATTCCATGACATAGTAAAATTCCAGTATCTTTAGTTTATTTTTTGGTAACTTGATTACGTTTTTATTTAGCACACCTCAATGGTGTATTTAAACTAGAAGTAATCTATTAAAAGTGTAAATAGGAAATGATGAATATAAAACTGTTATGTTACTACACTGTTTAATTATTAGCAATTTATTCTAAGGGTATTAAAGTATGTTACATAATTAACAAAGTTAAAGTTATAAAAATTATATTATATATTGGGGCTCTGCTCGCACTATATTGATACAATAATATGAGACAGAAATATAATCTATTATTATGCTTTCAAGTTGGTTAGCTGTTATATGAATATATATTACTTAATAATAACATAAATATAACATTTGCAAGATTGTATTGTGTATAAGTTTTGACTTTAACAAACAATGAATATGTTTTTTAAAGTTTTATTTTAAATACACAAGTTAAATTGTGAAATTAACTTGCAACTTATTTTATTAAACTTACCTGATATCATAATTTCATAATAAATATATTACCAGAATGTGTATGCTGGAAGTTTCAGGTTAAAATTGAGCTTGTGGCAATAAAATATTCTGTTTTTTAATTAAATTATAATTTTTTTACAGCAAAAAACAGCAACGCCTCCACCACAAGAACAGCCAAAGAAATCAAAGAAAGAGGATCGTAATAAAAAAGATGATAAAATAGTAGAACAGTTCATGAAATCTCTAAATTCATTGCCGTTAGAAGAAAAATTTTCATCTGTTTGTAAAAAATATGTACAGACAGTGGACGATAATAAAAAACTACAGTTTTATATCAAACAATCAGACAAGCGGTACGCTGTGCTGTTAAAGGAGAAGGAACAGTTACAACATGAATGTAACAAAACGGTTCTCGTTAAGTCGAAACTTGAAAATCTTTGTAGGGAATTACAGAAACAAAACAAGGCTATAAAGGTAATGTGAATGAGATTGTCACTTTAATTTGGTAAATGTAGTAATCTGAAGATATTAGCTATATTTAAATGAATACATATGCAAATCTTACATCTTATTAAAAACATTACTATGTCATTGAATAAAGAATTATTTTAATATTCCTCACTTGCAAATGTTACATCTTGTTAAGATTGTTACTATACTGTACTTGAATACAGAATTATTATAACATTCTAGCACTGAAAGTAAGATTTTAGTAAATATTTAAGTGTTTTATCTATGATGTATTAATTTCCAGGAAGAAGCTCTACTCAAGATCCGTGAAGAGGAAGAACGTCGTAAGGAGACACAGGCTAAATTTCAAGACACACTTTCAGAGATCACTACACTGTTACAACAGAATACAGAGAAAAACACAAAACTCAGAGATGACAACATCAGTATGACGGAAAAGTTTAAAAGTGTTGTGCAACAATACCAGCTTAGAGAACAACAAGTGAGTTATACTAATAATGATTAATGAACATATGTATTAATTACAATAACAATAATTTACCAATGTTATTCTAGAAGTATTTGTTTAGGCATTGCAGCTTTTAATTCAAATTTCTAAATATCTTTTAACTATTATACACCAGGTGGACAAAATGGCGAAGCAAATGGCTTTAGAATCTCAATTATCTGAGGCTAAGCTCCAAAAGGCGTCACTAGAACATCAAGCTGAAAACCAAGTTCTATGGGCAGAATTGGAAAAGAGTAATACAACCTTAAAACAATACGAGGCCAAGATATTGGAGTATCAGGGAATTGAGTCAGCGCTGAAAACACAACTGGCAGCTTATGAAAGTAAATACGAGGAGTTTCAAAACGCTTTGGTGAAGAGTCATCAGGTTTTCGGGAGATTTAAGGAGCAGATGGAAACTGTAAGTTCAAATATTTTTTATTTTACAACTCTAACCATATAATATAGTAGTGACAATATTGTCTGTATAGTTAGAATGCGTCTAAGCACTACATTCCCTAAAAAAACAGCAAAATCTGTTATATGCTTACAAATATACATCACTCAATACAAGTCTCGATATAGGTTTGTAATTCATGATTTTTTTAAATTTAATGAAAGTGCCATCTATCAAAAATAAATGGAATTATTTTGACCGTACGCTTCTAGAGCCGCTTTGCAATTATTGTGATCGCAAGTTTTACTACTAGATACTAATTCTCCATGCAAATAATTTACATTTTATGTTTGTAGAAATATTTGTATGTGGAAGTAAAAACGTTCTACATGGTTATAGTTTGAGATTGCATTGCTTTTAGCAAGTTACAACCCCAATTGTTTTAGAAATCATCAAAATTTTGTTTTTGATTGTATAGGGCTGTTCATTTTAAGTGGTTTACAGTGCAACAACTTTGTCAATATTTTGTTTTGATAATTTTTCTGATCGCATAAGAATAAGTTGTCACTATCTAATAATTCCCTTTACTATCGAGTTACAGAAAATTACAGCTTTGAACTCTGTGATGTTTATGTGTGTTTAAAATAAATACAATAAAACATTCTAACAAATCACTAGTACCTGTACACATCTGGCTGTATACACAAATTAATTCTAATCCAATAATTTTATATCATTATTTATGTGATTTTAACCCATACTTTCCCAGATGTCCAAGAAAATCCAGAATCTGGAGAAAGAGTCGTTATCATGGAAGAAGCGATGGGAGACGTCTCAGAGCGCGCTGCTGGGAGTGTGTGGAGAGAGGCAGGCCAGTGAGGAGCGAGCGGCCGCTGCTAACAAACATCTGACACACATGCAGGCGCTGTGTAGAACACTGCAGGTTATATTGTACTATGATATGCAGTGCCCGCGTTAGGGGGGGGGCCCGATGGGACGACAGCCCAGGGCGCCAAATTTGGGGGGGCGATTAGTGGAGGTAGGATTCTCATAAATTAAAAAAAAATAGGAGCTACATAATTTTCTACGTCCACGTCGTTAGCTCTGGGTCACGCTAAAGGAAGGATAGAAGATGGTAGATGGAGTATAGAAGTCTTAATACACGTTCAGTGTTCACATTAGTTCAGAGAAAAATTAATACTCGATTTTGATTTCTTCAAGTGGGCGCCAAAATATTCTTGCCCAGGGTGTCGGTCCCTCTAACGCCGGCACATTGATATGTTCATATATATATTGAAGGGAGAGTGCAAAACTTCATAATTATTTACTGTTTAATTTATTACTTATTGTAAAAAAATTATCCTTAAAAATCGTTAATATAGAAAATATTTCAGCTCAAACTTTCTTCTGATAATCTGCTTCCAATGTAGATACGCGGATTTGTACTATTCCCGACGATATATATTGATTAGGTCACTCCTGAGGCAGACATACATATAAATAAAACTATTTTCTTTAAATTTATTTCTACTGCACAGTAATTTACCATTCAGGTAAAAACATAGTAATATTCTACTATGTGTTCCCAAATACAGCAAACCAATGTAATTTGTAAAGATATATAGTTCCAGCTCTGGTGTAATATCTTATTTGAAAAATATTCAGTATAATAAAAATTTATTATTTAATAGTGTAAATAGACTAGAAAAAATCTCAACATAGAATTTAGTACGATATGTTATAGTAACAAATCATCAGAGGCAATTTATTAGAAAAATAGTTCCAAAATTTAGTGGAAAGAAAAAGTAAAGAAATCCACCACCACAGTGTGCCAACAAATATATGAACTGAAATTATAAAAAGATAGCAAACCTCATTTTGTCTCATGTCATTATTTTACATGATATTTTTTAATAACCTTCCATTTGATACTAATTTTATTTGTTGTAGCATACACTCATAGTATTACAAGGAATGTTAAGTAATTTTAACAATTGCTTTTTAACAAAAGGCTCATAAGCCACAATAATACATTAATTATTATTTTAAGTATCAATATTATAGTACTTATGTGATATGTAACTCACCTTTAGCATGATCTAAAATACAAGTTCTGAGAAACTTATACAGGGTGACTGGTGAATTACTATCAATATTTAAGGAGAATACTCGGTACATGATTCTCATTCGAATTATGTAAAAAAAATAGGCACTTAATTTTTGACAAAATTTCCATATAAATAAATAAAGTGTTGACACGCTCCAAGTGTTCCAAGTGTGGACGCGTGCGGCGGCGTGCTGATACAACACCACGCCGCTACGCGCGTATGTGTGAGTGTGTGTGTATACCTAATCTGTAGGGTGTTCACACGATGCGTAATTAATTACATAACTTTAGGTTAACTTTACTTAGAAGTTTATTAATATTTATGTTATATTAATTTTTATTTTGTCATATATGATCGTCAAATATCACGTCCTCAAGTATCGATAGTAATTCACCAGTCACCCTGTATAAGTTACAAATGAAATAATTTTAAATATGTATGTGTATATTAATATGTATATTGTTTTCATTTAGGCTGACCGTAACATGCTCCTGAACATCTTGAAGGAGAACAACATCGAGCGGCCCCCCCTCCCCGCGCCGCCGCCGGCGCCCACCCCGCCGCCTCCTACACCCAGCAGTAACGCTAAGGTAATATACACACGAGCTATCTAGATATCATTATCATAACATTATCACTATCATATCATCATCTTCATCATAACATACACATAGCACTGGAGGACAATTGTATCCAATCGCGAAGCCTCTCCGTATCCATATAGTTTTATTTACCTAAAAATATCTAAGATTTACTTAAACAATTCTTTACCTTACACTTCAATATGTTTGCCATGAAGTATGAAGACCATTCATTTATTTTATTTTTTTATTTTGATACAAACAGTCATTACTATAAAACTACAATAATCTAAAATTAAGTAACATAAAGACAAGGAGTGTCCAAACTTTAATACATTTAGAATATATACATATATATATATATATATATATATATATAATATAATTCACCAGTCACCCTGTATATATATATATATATATATACAGGGTGACTGGTGAATTACTATCAATATTTAAGGAGAATACTCGGTACATGATTCTCATTCGAATTATGTAAAAAAATAGGCACTTAATTTTTGACAAAATTTCCGTATAAATAAATAAAGTGTTGACACGTTCCAAGTGTTCCAAGTGTGGACGCGTGCGGCGGCGTGCTGATACAACACTACGCTGCCGCACGCGTATGTGTGTGTGAGTGTATACCTAATCTGTAGGGTGTGCACACAATGCGTAATTAATTACATAACTTTTGGTTAACTTTACTGAGAAGTTTATTAATATTTATGTTATATTAATTTTTATTTTGTCATATATGATCGTCAAATATCACGTCCTCAAGTATCGATAGTAATTCACCAGTCACCCTGTCACCACATATATATATATACAACATCAGTTTCAAAAAACTTCAATCTATTAAAAATATTTAGTTGAAATGCTATTTAAATAGAAAATTCTATAACTATATAAAAATTACAGGTTGATGCAATGGCTGCCAACTGTACACAGCTGAGACAGAGTCTCGCTCATCTACAGGATCAGTTGAACGTGTTGACGAATAAAAAGGAAGAATCAGCAAAACCGGAAACTAAGAAGAAATCCAAATCTAAAAAGAAAGCACAGAAAAATCAAGAAAAGAATAATGTTAAAGAGAAAGAAATTGAAAATGCAAAGGATAATTCACAGGAGAATACATCCAATGCTGAAGATGTTTCCCAAAACGATGAGTGTCTTGAGAAAATTGATGATACTATGGAGAACTTCCTTCAAGCTGTGAATATGGCTAGCATAAAGCTAGGTGATCTAGATATTGGAGAAGGTAATCAAAATGGAGAATCTGATCTAGCTGAAGTATTAGATGAAGCAGTATTAGAAAATAAGTCTCCGGACGACAAGGAAGTAGTTGATAGTGCTGCAGGCAGCCAAGAAAATATACAGAGTAATATACAAGAAGATAAAACAATGGATTGTACAGAAGAGAACTTGGACGTTAAAGAAGTTCGGGCAGAAGATAAAGTGGCTGTTGGTGCTGAATCTTAAACTAAATACAATTACTACTTGTAACGAGAAAAGGCTAATGATAAATACATCAAAGTAATTAAGTAATTTTCATTTTGATCACTGAAGTTACAATCACGGTGCTATGTGTCTCGTTACAATCAGTGAGCTGCCTAATTTTATTTATAATTTTATATTGTAAGTTAACGGAGGGTTTACAAAAGATTTTGTATGTGTTTTTTTATAGTATTAAAAGTGTGTTTACATCCAACAACTATGGAAATGTAAATGTTGCATACAGCATGCATCATTTAATGTTATTTGTTACCTTTGGGTGTGAACTGCTTAGGACTGTTTGAAAAAATTTTTGTATTCATTGAAAAATGTAAGTGCCTGATGTTTGGAGTCTTTTAATACAAACGTATTAATAGAATAGAATAAGTATTGTTTCATACAAATCTGTCCGCTCAATATTTTTATATGATCTGAATAAGTGTCATATGATAAAATTTTCTTGACATTATTTTAGGCACATACTGTACTTTCAAGTGAAATCAAAAATTTTGACCAATCTTATATTTTCTGATTGAATAAATAAATCGAATAAAAAAAATATTTTTTGCTTTATTTAACCTGTCCGATTATTCTGAACACGAAATTGTTATATAATTTTTAAATATTCGATGAAAATCTTTTTAAAGATATTTTGTGAGCAGACATTTTTTTCTGGTTATGTCCAATTGCGTCTGGCCGAGATTACTTAACCCCTTTTACTTGTCCGAGCATTACGAATAACTGTAAAATTATTATTCACGTACTTTATAAATTTATATGCACAATACAAATCCAATGGTTCCCGCTTCACATTTAAATCACATTTTTTTTATGCTTTCTAAATGACAAGCAACGACTCTACCTGTTCTGCATTGCTTCTGTAAAATATAATGGCGAACATTTTTTAAATTGAATTTGTTTGGGAAGTATCCGTATATTTTACTCAGGCAAATATTATATAGTGTGTTTATATTAATATAATATACAAGTCTTGCTAACTTTCTTGTCTCTTTTCAAATTTAAAATATTATTCGCTTTATCTGTAACGGTCCTTACGGAACATTTATTTCATAGTTGTTCAACTCAGGACGTGACTTCGTTACGACGGATTTCTCTCCCCGGCAACCGATAAAGTAAAGAAAAGTAGATTCCACTTTAAATTCATTTAATTTAAAATAAAGGGTATATTTATTCCATTCAAATGTTATGTAATATTGCTTTAATATTTAATATAAAACAAAACAATCACATGAAACTCTGTGCGTTTTAAAAGAAAGTGTCCGTAATTATGACATTTTTAAATACAGAATCTATATGTATACTTATATTCTATATAATATACACATATATGAATTGCTGTTCGTTAGTATCACTAAAACTCGAAAACGGCTGAACGGATTTATCTTATCTTAGTCTTGAAATGTTCGTAGAGGTTCCTTGAAGGTTTTAAAGCTGATTTTTTTTAAACCAGAAAACCCTAAAAACAGCCCTTTTCTATTTCCCATATTAACCTTTTTTTTTAAATTAGATTTGACAACTAACTACTATGTCAATCATTCTGTCGCACTTTAGAACACGGAGATTTATGGCTTGAAGTTTACCTCCGAAAAAATAAATACGAAATTATTTATTTATCGATTGAGGCAGTACGAAGTCTGCCGGGTCAGCTAGTCTAAAATATAAATGAGATTTTTTTATATGGAAGTTATTTGTTATTGTTTTTAATTACATAATGAAATTATTATTAAATTGTGGTATTAAAAAAGTTTCATTATTATTTTTATTGAAAATATATACATTTTTTTTTATTTTAATGAATGACTTACAAAAGGCGTCTAGTATGTTATCTATATAAAGTGTGGATTGATTTCGTTAGGAATTCATAAGGGAAAGCAAATTTTAACAATGGTTTAATAACTTGTAGATCAGCTGCTTATAATTCTTTAGCTACCCTTGAAAATCGGAATATTGCACAAAAAATTAGGTGACAGTTAAATATAGATACTAATAAATAAAATTGTAGTGTCTGTTTGTGTCAAATCAATTAACTTCCGAATAAAAAAAAACTGTCTCTTCCGGTTATTCTATACAATAATGTTTATAACGTATTGACAGATTTTAAATTACATTCATATGTATTTAAGGTAACTTAGGCTGTTATTGTATTAATTTGAAAAAGGATAAGTTCTTAATTCAACCAAATATTTTTTACCTCATTACTCTTTTAATGATAGAGCATTTTCGTGATAAAATTGTTAAAAACGTCAGGATTTAATTGAAGTACTTCAAGAAACCCAATGCTCATAATTATGGTAATGAAATCGAAACCTCATAATTACGGTAACGCGTATTATATAGTAAATTTAATATACGGACCAGGAAGCAGGCAACAGCTTGTATTGAAATGTAAATATTGTGATTTCTAATTAAAATTGATATATTTTTAATCACAATCAAATAATATGTATAAAATGAAAATTCGTTTATTTTAATCTTGATAGATTACAGACATTTTATTGTTTCTTTACGCTGACGGAGAAATACAGTAGTTTTATTTTGTGTCAAAAAGAAAAAAAGTATTCTCGACATTCATTTATTTCTTATGAATAAATATAAGAGGGTCAAGGTTCGTTCGGTAATGTGCTACACTTTCTATCAGAGATACAAGTATTTGATATCATTTATGTGAGTCTCAATACTATCTATATTTGTAACATTACATTTATAGGTATATAAACGGTAGGTTGTGCCATATATACAGAGATTTTTCAGATTCTCAGTAAATCTTCATACACAAAACTTGATAGTTTAATTCATAAATCTACTCTGATGAGAGATATGAATAAAACGCTTAACTCTACGTATTTAGTGTACTAACTTGTAGCAAGAGAGGACTAAAATTTTCTCTATTGTTAAACATTCGTAAGTCGCATTACAGAGGTTGGTGGTAGCTTCAAATCCGTATAATAAGTATCAGTATGGTCACTCCAAGCTTACATGGTCACCCTACTTACAGGGTGTTACCAGTTTTTCATTCATAAATGTTATCAGTTCAGAGTATTAACGCCAGTTATTGAATGAAAAGAGGAAAAAGTTTCGTATATAATGTGTTGGTGCATACTCATTTTGAAGAGTACAATATTTTACATACAAAGAAAAGGGACTTTTTTTCTTTCTCATCATATAATTTCAAATCATATAACTGTATGTTTAAACTTTAAACTGTCAATTTCCTTCAACGTTCTCTCACTAACTATATCTTAACTCAATAGTGGCTCACAATTACAATACAGTCAATAACGACATTTGAAATATTTCTTAAAATCACGATAATTTTAGAAATTCCTTACCCGCTTTTGTTGTTTCATCTCACGATGTCTTTCACAGACGTAATACTTTCAAATCAATAGATTGTATTCATTCACTTCCTAATTTTCACAATCCTTTTCAGCTATAACAAATGACATCGAAATTATTGTACTTAATATTTTTTTATACATCATTATATGTATTGTTAAGCAATTTGTAAACATTAATAAATCTATGTGTAGATGCTTTCAATAAAACAGAATTAATTAAAACAAAACCGCACTTGATAATAGAAGTATACAATATATATTTGTTATTAGAAAAATAATTTCTATTGGATCTTTTGCGTGTCTAAGTATTACAAATTACAATTTGCAAAGACATAGTCCTTTTTTCTTCACATTTTTCATTCTAGAACCAATAATTTGATATACCTCAAATTAATCATATGTATATTCCTTTTTTATTTCTTTGAATTTCATTAATAAATATTATCTATCACACTATTGTTACAATTTAATTCGTTAGTCAAGTAATATCTATATGATGCTTTTGTTTTGTTTAATAACTTAAAACTGTTGTCTAATTGTTTTTTAACATATTCAATTAATACGTCGAAGTAATGTAATAATCAAGTAATAATAATATTTTCTTCATTGTTACGTTTAATACAATCTTTTTATTGATGTACATCATGTAAAAAGTTATTATCTACATATTTCCGACATATAGGAATGGTTGTTGTTGTAGAGTCTATACATGATTTTTCGGTCACGAATCAGAAGATTACGTGTTCTATTATTACAAATTAATTATTAATCTAAATTTATTTTATAAAAATATGTATTATGTCTTTCATTTTGATTTTGTTTTTCAACGGAAAATAAATACAAAATGTCAAATATTTTAAATGAAAGAAAATGCAGATATACTCCATCTGATCATGTCAGCACTGAAATATATCTCATTTTTTTTACCTCTGGCTTACTAAGCCTCTGTAAAATTTAATGTTTGAAAAAAATATATAGAGATGTTCGTTCGTAAATATAAAAATATATAATATTAAATAATGACTATGTAGGATCATTAAAATGTTTGTACAAAAGATCAGTAATGCTATATTTTTATAAATTTAATAAGAAGTATTTCAAGGTAATATAAACATATGTAATATTTAATTATGAATATCTTTATTTCGAAAAAAATCCTTTTATAGATAATGGTCATAATTATTTTTAAATATATTACCCAGTACACTCAGTCTAGGTAGCTCCTAACACTGAATTCATTTTTCAATACCCTCCGTTCAATAGAATCCATATTTCACCAGCCCGGTGTTATTATCTAACATTTCTATCAGATCTATAAATAGCAAGGCGTTCTCTGGTCCATTACATTACCTCACTGACCGTTAAACACCTCAAGTTAACAACCACCCAGTACCAGGTCGGTCAATATTGGCACTTATAAGTTTAAATCGTTTAAAACGTTTCAAAGTTTGTTCTAATTTGTTTTACGTGTTTCAGTACCCACGGAGGATGAGAGCCTTCACGATCATCTTGTTTTGCGTCGGTAAGATTATATTTATTATTATTATTATTATACTTTAGAAAATAATTCATTTTTTTTGTTTAAATAGACTCAAAATTATAAGTGTGTTCATATGGTCCAAAATTAAAAGACAGCAAGAGTAAAAGCTTTTGCAAGTTATAATATTGTAAATATCATAAAAATCAAATAATATGATTATTGTCATGTTAAAAGCTGTGAAAGATTATCTTTATATATAACCACATAAGTTTTATCGTAAAAAAAAGAGCCGGTATGCTCTCCATCAATGTGTTTCGTCACAACATACGGAGCGTAAATTCTTTTCATTCATACATATTCCCACATTATAGTTTTAATGTAAGTGATTGAATGAAACGGAAAATCTTTCTACCACATAAACTTTGTAGTATACTGGACCGTAGAAAAAGAAAATAGGTACTTCACTATATTAATTTTGTATTATTTTCAGTTCATTATAATTTCTTATAAGGGTATTATTAAAAATAATATTCATTAAAAGCCATCATTAGTTGTGAAAATGGAATTTTTCAAGTAAATTTCCTTAATTATTTGTTTTACTTGACAGGCATCTTAAAAGTATAGAACGAATAAAACTATACAAGATTGTATAAAATGTCGCCAAAGTTGTAAATGACACTCGACAACTTTCCCGCTTTCATGTAGTAATATAAGACTAACCACGGTCAGGATATACAATTGAAATATGATATTAATTGTTCAGTGAAATGATAGAAAACTAAGTTAGCTAAGTAAACGTTATAATTGTTTTTGTTGTTGATCATTACGCATGCAATAGTCGATCGCATGTTTTATCAGGCGTTAAACAAGTTGCAAAGAATGATATATAACAGTTATATTTATTGAGGATGTTATATAATACGTTAGGAAGTAGCTCGCTCGCGTGACCTAAACTTCCCAATTGATCAGTTTTTTTTAGGCTGTTCTGTAATATGGCATAATGCGTTCTAGTAACGATTGTGCGTGTTTCATGAATTTGCAAGTCTATTGAAGTTTATGAGAAGAGAAATTTATAGGATGATGTATGAAACTAATAGAAATTTTGAGTTTAGATTTTCTTATTAATTAAGATATAATATTTTGATATAGGAGCGCTCGCCTCCGCATCATCAGCCCCAATCAATCAAAACTCGCCCCAAAGAGCAGAATACAACTACGACTATGAAGGCGATAATACAAACCAAGCCAAAGACCCAGCGGAAGCTGCAAGCCATTATGACTCTTATATCCAGGACGTTAAGGCAGCAGCTAACGGGGGTGGTGGAAAGAAGGGCTTCAGCAGAGGCAGTGGCTTACGAACGATAGCCGTGGGATCAGCTAATCAAGCGAAAACAGCGCTTGGAAACCAGCAGGCCGCGGCATACCAAGCGGCGTATGTAGCTAAGAATACTTTAGCTCAATCCGCTGCCCAGGCGAGTGCTACAGCGCAGGCAGCGCTGGCCGGGAAGCAGGTTATACTGTCTGGTCTGGAACAACAAGTGAGGGACGCGAAGGTTGGACTTCAAGGAGAGGAGATGCAGCTCCAGCAGGCGAAGAGAGCGGCACAGTCCGCAGCACAAGCAGCGCAACAAGCGATGCACCAGGTGAGAGAAATATAAGTTCAATCACAATGAAAAAAGAGTTCAAAATACAGTGTAGTGATTTGTATTTAAATTTTGATGTAACAAAATAATCTGGAAGTCTTAAAAAGGAAATAAAACCACTGAAAGTATGTAATACCTAGTTTAGATAAAAGTCAATTGCATAAACGGTGAAAATGAAAAAATACTATGTCTGTTCATTTTTTTAACTTATTTTTGTCTAGAAAGTAAAATGATTCTGCAAGTTCTATTAGTAGAATACTGACAGAGAAATATTAAATTTATTATAATATTACTTAAAACATCGAAAAAATTACAATGAGAATATATTATTGAAATATCAAATTATTTTAAATGATTAAAAACCATTTTAATGATAGTGTTATTGGATTTTAAAATAAAAAAAGTTAATAATGTTTGCAATAGCAAAAGAAATGAAAAAATTCTTAATTGTAAAGTCGATTTCGTCGCTATTGCTACACGTAGTGGCGGAGATGAAAAAAAACTATAAGTTTATTTACGAAATTCAACTAACTTCAGTTGACCGTGTCTCGAGAGGCGAGTGTGACGAAACTGTAATACAATGAAATTGATCGTGCAAAATTTTATTAATCACCTGTTATTCAGCACCCTTTTGTTAAGTTTCAAAATCAATGAAACTTCATTAAGTTGTATTTTCTAAAACTTTGCTGATTTAAAATTCGTGTCAAAATAGTCCATTACTCACAGTTATAATCCATGTAAGTTAGGAGCAAAATAGTACGAATTGGTAAAAGCATTTGTTATTTCGAAATGCTGTTTAGTCCATATTCTAAATATCCAGAAAAAATGGTAAATTTCTCGGCTGCCCTAGTTATAGATATGACTAATATTTTTTTATTTACCTTCTAAATAGTTATGGTCAGGTATTTGATTTGTATATAGTAATAATAATGTACAATTGCTTTATAACGTAACACAAAGCAACAGCGACACGCTCCAATAATTGATCGCGACAAACAGATAGATAGTTTTTAATTATGTCGTTACATTTATTTAATACTCTTTTATTTTTATTTAAATAAGGATATGGTTGCATAAATGTTACACAAGCAGGCTGATTTCTATAACGACTTTTGAGTTTTTTTTTTAAATTGATATTATTATATAATATTGAGTATAATAGAAAAAGGAAAACTTGGCAGTGTGATTGAATAAGTTTGTATATATCTTTTTAATTCTATAAGTACTATTAATATCAATTCGATTCGATCGAGGTGAGTTCTCATGATAGGATTATTCTTCTTCTTCTACCTGGCAATGTCCTAGCTATAGATAGGGTCTGGCTTACATGTTTTGAATAGTTTTGGCTATTTGTTTTTACGACCGGCCGCCTGCCTGACATCAACCCTCTTTTGGGAATCAACATTAATCAGTGACGTCTATAAAGTCTTAGAAAGTAGGTACATATGACTCGGAAAAATCACATTGGTACTTGCTCGGGCCAGGATTGAACCCACGCCCTCGGAAACGAGAGGCGGGCCCTTTAACCACTAGGCCACCACTGACTTTAATCCTATTAATCCTAGTATGAGAACTCGATCGAGGTGATTCTCATAAAAGGATTATTATCATCTAAAATTGTCAATCATCAAATCAGGTGAACGTGATCCAAGCAGCGTTAAACGCAGCTCAAGCTACATCAGAAAATGCGAATGAGGCAGCGTCTCAAGCTGCAGGAGAGCTTGGAGCTCAAACAGCCATGGTGGGTGCAGCACGACAGAGACTGTCAACACTTCAGGAACAACTCAAAGGAGTCAGAATCGACTTCGAGGCCACTCAAGCTGCTGCTAGGAAGGCTCAGGTGAGGGACACTTTAATAATTCAGTGATATTTATTCAGCTTCAAGTCGTTATGTACATGTAAATAAAATTTCTTATATATTTGGTATCCCTTAATGTAAAAGAATGATAACGATAACTATACCTATATCATATTGTTACATGGTATTTTTAAACAAAAACACGTATGATATTATAGGCGGCTGCTCAACAAGCTCAAGCGAATGCCGCTGATGCTGCAGCGAAGGCTGCCGCTGCCGGCCTGGCTGCCAACAAGCCCGACGCCTCACACGAAGGTACTAGCCAGGAAGAATACCGGGCGCCTGAACACTCTCAGAGCCAGGAGTATTATCAGAATGAATACCAGAATTAAAATGGACACAGTGTTTGCTCTTAGACTATATCCTTAACAAGCCTATTTTTGTTGAAAATTTACAATTGAATTTAAAGGTAGATTTTATGAAATGTCATTGCTTTGATAGAGTTTGGGAGCAAACATCTTCATATGAATTGTCCGGGTATTTTTTGTCGGTATTGGAATAGGGCGAAGAAAATTTACGGAATTCTTAACCTTATCGCCTTCATCACTAAATATTTATTAAAACAACACTGTATTTCCAAATAAAAATCTCAAGACCCCTATTCCAATTAATGCAAATCATGCCCGATGTAAATATAATTTAGATGAATAATTTTGTATGTTTTAGATATTTCAGTACATTTTTTACCTCTTTTTTTACTAATATTTATATTTCATTTTTGTATTTTAATGAAAAATATTACAAAAATGAAAATAATTAAAATAGTACGAAATAAGTTATAATGGAACAAGATTTATTTAATAAACTGTCTGTTATAAATAACGTATTTCAATTGTTGACTTTGACGTTTGACTTGACTGTGGACTGTCTTGTTCTTTTATGACTGTACGAACTACGACTTGAGATGCAACCTAACCTTTACCTTATACTCACGGCTTTATAACATGTTGTAGTTACATACAAAAATACTTAGAAACACGCAGAAACAAATCTTTGTTAATGCAAAATCCTTTTTTAAAACTTAAAACTATAAAAACTTGACCCAAACGCACAAAATCTAACCAACTACCCTCAATCCCGTGAACGAATCTATCTGATTCGTTGATTTCCCTTTCAGGATTCGGTCCCAACCAGGATCCAGTCACCTTGCACGCAACCCGAAGATCCAAACCCATCCAAAACATCAAAACCTTCACACTTAACCTCGCACAGAATCCAGGCCAATGGCACAAACAGGAACAACCAATACAGTTCCGGTCATTGAACCATGAACCGTTAAAAATATCAAAAACTAAAACGATAAAACTGTTAGATTCTGAATCATTTGAAAAGTTCCCAAGCTTTGCTGATGGCGGTTATGTTTTAAATTCTGAACCTGAATTTAAGTGGTAGATTCTTGATATGGTCATGAAAAGGTAGGTCAGTTTATAATAATTTCTATGCAAGATTTCTCCTTACCTAAAAGATGTGTCCACGCTTTATGTACATATTAATTATGCTTAAACCAATTTAGCAGTACCTCTATGCTTTAACTGAAATATTATTACATATTATGTACATAAAATTAAGAACAGTAATTTTACAGAAAATCATGAAGAAGTTGAGGAAGATGCAGAAGAAGAAGGTGAAGAAGATTGTGAAGAATAGACTCCCACCTAGAGAGTGAAATGCCATCATACTGTCATAGATAACACAATAATTACATATCACGACAACTATATATATTTTATCATATATTTACTTGTTTTATATTATCTATAACAAACGTTGTTTTCTGAGTAATTGTTAGACTTAAAAGTTGTTGATTTTGTTAATTAATTATAAGTGTTTTTAAATGTTGTACAAAATAATGGATTGTGTGAAGATTTTCATATTATTTAACTAAAGATTATAAACATAAATGGAGTGTTCTTAGTGAAATTAAGTATTTAATAAATCATTAATGTTTTTTAATAAACAATGTTTGAAATTCAGATATTACCAGATGTAATAGTAATCTTTTTAATCATTTTGATATCCAAAGTTAAACTAACCAGATATGGCCATTTACCCAGAAAACCTGTATGAAAAATGTTAGAAAATCATTGATTTGTTAATTAGCCAAGTTTTATATTTCCTGATACAGACGACAAAATGAGATATGATAAAATGGTTCACAGTTTTCAATACCATTAGTTATCCTATAAACATAATATTCAACATGAAAAATATGTACAAGGTTACGTAAGAGTATATAAATAATATTATTATTAACGTAAGTATTTAAAGGGCTATGGAGTCACAAAACCTGCCACATTTTTTTTTAATCTTTAGTTATTGCATACATTTACTTTTTTATGAGGTGGCAACACTAATTTATCATTTAAAACTAACTCAAAAAAAATTAAAACTAATAATAATAATAACGTAGGTAAATAGAATCTGAAAGACACCTTTCTAAAAACCATATGATTAGGTCATGTATAACCTCTTTCAAATAAAATTTAATATTTAATTATTTTATATATTTTTAGCCGTTAATCAATATATTTATATTTTCCTTTTCATATTGCTAAATCAGTAGTTTAATGTTGTGTGAACATGGTATAGTTTTTTTTTTTTCTAAGTTCCGCTGCTCCGAAAAAGGCTGGGTCGAAGGCAGCGAGCTTATGCTCGCGACCTGCCTCCCCAGTGAGGAAGCCTCCGGGCGTCGGTGGGCAACCGGCGTCCGGGTAACATAGGTTAGAGGAAGAGCGGCGTGTTTGGCGTTCCCGGCACGCTGCTCTTGAGTCGGAGGGATGGTGTGGTCAGCCACTGATACCCCTGCCGATGGCGGAGTCCCTTTCGGGACTTGTGCGTAGTGAGCGGAAGCATGGCTCGCCGTTCCCGCTCACTAGCCTACGCATTGCGCAGAGAACGCCGAGGTGGTTTAGTGGGTGGAAATCCCACATGCCCCTGTCGCGCTTCCCCCGCGACAGGAAGTCTTTGAAAGATTCCCCTCGTAAAAAAGAAGTTAATTTAATATGACTTTAAAGAGTTTACCAATAGGATGAGTACAATAAAAGGAATGATATTATATATTGTAACATCAATTAGTCTCGAATTAATAATTGTTTTCTATTTACTGCTAGACTTGATTTTTTAATTAGGTGCCAACATAAATTATGCATTTATAAAAATACGAACAATTTTAGATTTTTCTTATTAATTACATAAAAAGGTGAAAAATATTAACATTTAAAGTAACAGTAATAAAAATACTTTTACGTATGCGTATTGCTGTCCACTGTTAATTTTACTATATGCAATGAGTAAAATTTTGAAATACGTCTTTTTAGAAAATTCCATTGTATAAACAATTTATCTAAATATAAATTTAGATAAATTTCTGCCAAGTCCAAGATAGAATTATTTCATAAAATTAATAAGTTGAGTTCCAAACATATATTATTTAAGATGACATATATGTCAAATGTCATAAATTTGTAAGTGACATACTGACGGTCCGAGTATCGTGTCATGTTATCTGTCGTTCTTTTGTATTGTGTACTTCATATCCATGTGATTTGATAAACATTTACCAGACAAAATGACTGTAAAAACAGCAAAAACAACAGCAACAAAGAAAAGAAAACGTGTTTCTAAAAAGAGCAAAGCCTCGTGGCGTAAACATTGTGATATAAATGATGTCGAAGAATTCCTTGAAGACCAGAGATTGGAAGAGAGATTAGGGTGAGGTTATGTTTATATATATTTTTAATGATGCGAACTAAAACGATACCAACGATACGTATTAAATTTTCGTATCTTTTGCGGTGCAATTTTAATTTTAAGACTTCTTTTTTAGTAAATTTGATGAAAAACCAGACGAAGAACTATTTATCGTAGATACAACTGGCGGTGATGTTGATGAGAAGCCGGAAGTCAAACCCGATCTTAAAGCTAAATCCTTTAAGGAACGGAAAAGAGCTCAGTTGGCTGAAACACCAAAATGTTTTGAAGTGCTTTTACCTACATCTAAGGTAAATTATAAAATTTTATGTGAAGTTAAATTTCTACTAACGGGCAAATGGTTTACTTCATGCTGAGTGCGTAAAGTCCTTGTTACCTATGGTTTTCTTAAGGTTGCTGTTGTTATTTATTATGTTATGTTATATTAATATGCCAAAGGGTATTTAGACCGTTTGACAATTTCACTTAAGCTAGTCTGTAGGAAAAAGGTTATACTGATGAGTTAAAAAATTATAATCATGTGCTAGCAAATTGGCTGTAGCTACAATTATTGATGTAATTTGTTGTTATTTTACCATGAATGCAAGGCAAGTCAGTATACTAACTAATTGCACACTTGAACTAATTGTGTAGGTTGTACATTTTAATTATCTACTATATTTTTAATGCTCTGTGTACAGTATAATAAGCTAATCAAATAAATGTTTTCTCTTTCAGGTTCAAGACCCTAACAAAAAGCGTAATACAGTCAAACAAGTTGGCTCAAAGCCATCAGATTTGTCAAAATTAACAGAAAAGCGACAATTATCTAAAGGTGTCCTCAGCAGAAAATTAGAACAGACTAAAGTTAATAGGAAACTAGCAATACAGAAAAAGAAAAAGTCCAAAACTGTCAGGCAAAGCTTCGATAAGAACATTTGGGATGCTCCAAGTAAATTTTCTTTTTAATTCAGTACTTTGTATAATACATTTATTAACAAACATTTAAATTACCATAAAATATTGTTATTTTACAGCTCTGGAATCCAAAGGTATACCGGAAACTCTTTGTAATGAATTTGTATCGACAGAGGCTCAGTTACACAATGTACCAACAACAAAACGCATCCGAGCAAAGCCGCAGCTTCCAAAAACGCTACTAACGAGAGCAGCTATAGAAGTACCGCATCCTGGTGTCAGCTATAACCCTTCATATCAGGTATATTGAAATTGCAATATCCCTACTAATATTAGAAATGCGAAAGTAACGCTGTCTGTCTGTCTATTACGCTTTCACGCCTAAACCACTGAACTGATTTTAATGATATTTGGTACATATAGAGTTGACTTTGAGAAAGAACATAGGATAGTTTTTATCCTAGACTTTAGAAAGGTTTTCTTTGAAACCCGATATAACCGAACTCCACGTGGGCGAAGCTGCGGGCGGAAAGCTATATTTAAATATTTTTTGTGGTAAGACCTCTGTAACAAGTATAAAAAGAAATTCTCATGTAGGAGTTACTATATTACTTATGATCAATTACTATATTACTTATGATCAATTTATACTGCCATACATTGAATATAAAGTTTGGTAGTTTTAATTGTATTTTTTTGTGTTACTCTGACTTAAAACTACTTATGTCACATATATATGTTTCTTAAAACAAATGCATCAATAATGTCAAGTTGTAGAATATTTCTTCAATTTTTACCCTTTGCAATATAGAAGCAAATAAGTCGCATAATTTTGCTATTGATTTGATTGCTCCAAATAGAAAATGAAAACTATTATATACTATATATAATAAGAATTGTATTTTTTGCAGGAACACCAAGCCCTGTTATCAGAGGTGGTTCAACATGAACAGAAAATGATGAAGAGGCAGGCCCATCTGAATAGAGTGACTACAAATATGTTCAGTAAAGTAACACAGGGGGAAAAGGAGGTAAGTGATAATTTTAGTAATTTTTTTAATAATTTTTACATATCACCATATGAAAGTTATCTATGGTTGGATTTTTGTTTTTGTGATATAGTTTTAGCTTTTTCTGAAGAGTTTTATTTCCTTACTTATATATTTAAAGGATATTGGAGTGTGTTGCAAAATTAACAAACCTGCCAATGTCGTTTTAAATGCCAGTATGTAAGTTTAATTTCTAGAATTATTTCAAATAGAATACTTTTTTGTATTTTAGAAACAATGGCAGGAGGAAATGAGCGTAGGGTTGCCACAACCCCACAATCCTTCAAATGATCCCGATCCAGAGCCCTCGGATAATGAATATAAAGCAGTCAACCCTCCAGTCAAGAACAAGAAAAAGGATCACAAGGCAAGAAGGAAACAGAGAGAACAACTTGAAGAAAAAGAAAGGCTGAAACGAGCCAAGATTGAGAAGAAAAAAATCACAGATTTATATAGGTAAGTATAGTCCGTTAAACTTAAGCTGAGCTTTGCATTTGTGTGAGTGAAAGTCTAAGTAGAGTTGACAAAAAACTTTTAGAATTACATTTTATTATATTTTATAAAGATACATAATATAAGCGCTAGATCTAATCTAGATTAAAAATGAAATAAGCAATACTTGTAAAAGGCCAAATGGAAATATTATGGGACAAAAATATTAAGTAATAAAAATTTTTAACAAAAAATACAAATTTTTCTTCACTTGACATTGCGTTTTCAACATTTGAAGTGAAGTGAGGAAGGTGCGGGGCGGAGTAAAAGCAGAATAAACCGGTTAAAAACTAGAAAAGAATGTTGTATTCAAAAATTTGACATCACATCTACACTATCTGTGTGCACTCACACAAATGCAAAGCTCAGCTTAAATCTAACGCAGTATACTAAACACATTGTATTTACAATTTATTTTTGAGCTAAGCATAATAACAATGTTCAAATGCCATTCCATAAGATTTAATTATACTATTTATATCATTTGACCACGAATCATTGAATACCCTCCCTTTAAGGTGTAAGTTGTCATTTGCATTACTGTGGAATTTTATTTCTGATACAAATTACATTGAAAGGATTTGAATAATTCTAATTGTTCATTAGTTTTGCTTCAACATATTTGAGATTGTCAGCAGTTCAGTCTCCTAAAATTTTATGTGTATTTCAAGACACTTGTGGTTGGCAAATCATGTATATGTATTTTATTTTATTTTATTTTAAACGGTTCACTCAACAGATTACAACTAAATATGCAAATAATTAATGAGTAAACATTATGAATGAGCTGAGTTATAATCCAACAATTATGCGAACACAGATTATATACTAAGTATTTCACTTATAAAAAAAAACACATCAGCACTAAACAATACATAACAAAACACACTTACAATTAATAGAAATAGTTTTACACGGAAAAATATGAACAGGTTACAGGAATCAAAATATAATGAAATTATAAACTAGTGAACTGGTGAGGTGAGGAACTAAATAATGAATAAATAAAAAATAAACAAATAATATAGATTCGATCACTATTCTTGGCTGTTAACCGAAACCAATCGTTTTTTAAATAGCTTTAGGTTTTTGTTGAAAACGTCGATACCATCCATTGGTATTACTAGCATTGGTAACTTTTGATTGTTTGATATTGTGTTCACCTGGTTTTAGGTATTGTTTGTTATTGCAAACACCTTTTCTTCTTCCTGGAAATTTCCCAGCTTTAGCCAGGGTCTACCTTTTTGCAAATACCTTTTACTATATGAAATTTAACCAAATGAATTTGTTTGTGAAATCATTAAATGTTTTTATGTAATTTTTAGTCAGTGTATCCAATATTTTTTTAAATTTACGTATTTATATATCTTGCGTTACTTTATGTTTGTGTGTATTAACACATGTATGGACAATATTTCTTACTTATTCCCTTTTTTTTCTACACATAGTTTTCCATCTAGTTTTCGTGTTGTTTATTATCTATTATTTCTTTGTTTTACTTAAGTATATTATTGGTTTCTTTTGTCAAGATTTGGTTTCTCCTGTCACAACTAGCTTCTTCATAATCTAAACCACAACATCAATCTTTTAACAAGAATCACCCTAACTTCTTCATAATCTATATCAGAACATCAATCTTCTTACAAGAATCACAATAAACAATTTAATATTTCCATATAACAATATTAACTATAACACTTTAAGCATCAAATAGCATTTCTATGACAATTAAAGTGATGATGTTTCACATCAACAGGCTTCGTAAGATCCAAGAGTCTCTCAAGAAGCAAGAGTCCCGTCAGTGTGAGAGGTCCACACGCTTGGCTTCAAAGCGAGAGGAAAAAGCTGCCACGGCACTACCAGCTCTGAACAAACACCGACCACCTGAGAAAGAACCGGAGTTTGTAGACCCTGCCATACTGACCGGGGATCTTAGGAACTTGACTAATACTAGTAAGTTTATATGATCATTATTAAACTAGTACTCGTATAGGAAACTATAGGTGGTATTTACAGTATGGCACTCATGACTCTGGCAATATGCGTTCCAGATCATTTGCTATATCCCAGACGTTACAGGATCCCTGCTTATGTTAATGAATTTTTTATTTTGTGTAATTTATACTTTAATTTAGATATTAGATCAACATCGCTTTATCTTTAAAACCATAATTGCACTACGAGTTTATTTCAATATAACTAATTCCTCTGGAGGCACTAGTGCATTGTTATTATAAAGTAATTTGTAGTGATACATGTTTTTTAAATTTAACAAGTCAATGACGTTACAGACAAGTTTGTATGCTTATTACATCCTTAGTGGCATGTCTTATAATATTAAACGTTATATTTTCAGGTAACCTCCTCAGAGATCGTTTCGAGTCCCTCCAGCGTCGCGGTGCTCTCGCCGCTTCAAAGGTCATGATGAAGAAGAAACGGAAACTCAAGAGTTACTTTAAACCGGGCCACAAGGTCACCGAGCAAGACATCAAGAAATATATTCAAAAATTAGACAAGAAATGATGTTTAGATACACAATAAAGAGTGTGGCTGGATTCAAATAGAGTTTCATTGTGTTTTATCTTTGGAGATGTAATTTTTTATACAACATTCTCTGTAGTAAAAGTTTTAATTAATAAAGTAATATAGCATAGCATAAATATATTTTCGTGTATGATAAGAAATAAAATTCATTTTATTTTTATATAAAAATTTATTGTAAAAGTAAAAATATCTTACACTAGGTAATAACTAACTCCTTATAACATAGTTTAATTGGCAGTGTAACAAGCTAAAGCAGTAAGGTAACTCGATGAGAAGCGACGATAAGAATTACAAAACAATAAATACCTACAGTATAAAGTGTATAACACATTGTTGCGTTCATTTAACTGTGTATAAAACATATTATATAAACATTACTTAGGGAAGGGAACGTTTCATATAGGGTAAATCACATTTTTACAAAATTTTAAATACCTAGGGTCCGTTCGGTAATAAATAATTGAGCATGTTTTTGTTTAGTACCAAAATTTTCTCGAACATTTAACGCGTTTACCTAATTTTAATTATAAATACTTTTGCGACATGTATGTAATGCTAAGAAATAGATAATTATAATTACAACGTGAAGTCTTATATTTTCCTGGTATTGTTGAATGACGAACCCTGATTTAAATAATAATATTTCTATTAGCCCCATCTAGCGGTGATGGTGTATAGTGATCTCAATAGTTCTAAAGCCCTCGTGTCTGATTGTGGCTTGACCTCTGTTCTTGGAGCTGTCCGCGCCTCAGCGAGCGGTCGGTCTCCCGCCGTCGTATGAGTTTGTTCTGTTTCTGTAGAAAACGAATATTTTCTGCTCCCTCTTCGACTCGTTCGTGTAGTCCTAGCTGTAGTGACTGGTGTTGTTTGTGTTTCTTCTATCTTTAAACTCTCAGTTGTGGTGGGAGTTGATAAGGAGTTTACTTCCTCGGCTTCTATATTTAGATTTTTATTCTGTCTAGGTTCCACTTGAATCCTGTCCATTCGTCGTTCGAACTCCTTTGTTTGTACATCAGGTAAAGGCACCGTTGAATGCGTTTCTATTGATTCCTCTTCTTTTTCTATTTCTTCCATATCTTTCTGTGAGACGGCCATCAGAGCCTCCAGCAATGCTTTCTTTGAAGCTTCAGCTGTCGAATTGTGGTCGTCATCGCAAGTTTGCACCAAAAGGAGAATTAAACGTTTGACTGTCTTTGATTTCGTTTTTCTCATGACATTCATGAGTTTCTGCGTCGTTGTTGAATTCATTCCTCCCATTATTTCCTTTGCTTTTTCTACGATAGTATCTGTAACAGTGGATATATCCTGAGAGGCTTCAGTCGATGAGGGGTCAGAAAGAAGTCTACCAAATCTTTCATCATTTTTGATGTTCGTTGTTATTTCTACATTAACAGTTGTCGTGGAGACGGGTTCGTTGGTTGATGTGAATGTAGATTGAGTCGTCGCAGCCTCTAATGGCCATTCGTTAGTTTGTTGAGATATTTCAGACACTACTTGCTCGGGTCCGGTAGAACTTAAGCCATCGTTAAGGGTGATGGGATCGATGATTGTGCTTTGCCAATTACCAAAAGTAGTTGGCCATTGGAAGTCATTATTGTTATTTTCACTATCTGGAGAAGTAAATACACTAGTTTGTGAAGGATTAACGGTGGTTAAAGTAGGAGTTTGGTCTGAAAGAGTTGAAACAGTGGCTTGGGTAGTAGTTGGTGCAGTTGTCGTTGAATCTATTGATGCTAGAGTCGGCGCTTCTAAATCTTCAGCAGGTTTCTTTAATTCTTTGTTTATAAATTGATTTAATTGTTTTCCTTTACGGATATTATTTGCTTGAGGAGTAACAAAAGACTGACTGTGTGCTCTTTGAAGTTCTTCTTCATTTTCTAGTTCAATACTATCAGTCTCAGCGAAGTTTTTACCAGTAGATTCCGGTATACTTGTCGTCGTCTTTATTTTCTTACTTTCAAATGACTGATGTGAATTAGTTATCGGGGAAAAAGTGGAATCAAAAATGTCGATATCTGATTCTGTTGTCAAGGTAGTAGTTTCAGTATAATCATTGGAAAATTGAGATTCAGTTACTGGTAGTTGTTTTATATTGGAATTCATAAAATATCCGTTTGATATTTTAGTATTGATGTATTCAGTTCTGGGGGTCTCAGTATTATAGTTAGCTAATGAATTTATTTTGCCCGCTGCAAAGTTATTAGATGAAATTGAAGTAAAGTACGGGTTCCTGGGCGTTGGGGCAGTTGTGTAAGAAGCTGATATTCTTCCGCAACATCTAAAGGGACTCCTTGGTGTTGTAGTGGTTTCAATTTCTGTTGTTGGTTTAACTGTTGTAGTTATATCTTCAATAGTAGTTGGATAATCAGTGGCAATATTTATTGATTTTCCGCTGCGTAACGAGTTTTCTATTGCTCTTATTTTATTATCGTCGGAAAATCCAAGTATTTCGTCATCTTCTTCGTTGACTGTGGTAGTAGATTCTGTATTTAATGAATCGTCTGTATCAACTAACATATCAGAAAAAGATGGATGTGTCGGTCTTATGTCTGATAAAACTTTTCTGAATTTTACTGGATCCTGTAGGTAAGCGGAGAGTGCATGTGTAAATATTTGAGCTAATTCTCTAATTTGTGGGGATGAAGCTAGCGGTCCTTGACTCATTTGTGCTGACAGATCTTCTGCGAGTTCATTAATCGAGCTATTTGGGTCTATTTTAATGTCTTCGAGCATTTCAGCGTTTCCTGTTCCATGTCCAAAGAGATTACTGTATTTGGTAATCGTCTGCTTGCTAAACAAAGCTGGCAACCCTTCCGTAACTTTTTCTTCCACATCCATAGGATTCGTGGTTGTTTCGGTATCTTCAGGTGTGGGTGTCGTAGCAAAATTATCTAAGGCTGTAGCATAATATATAGCTAGCGAATGAAGCGTTTTAGGAGTTAGTGACGGTGGTACAACTAGCCCGGGTCTATTTGATTGGTTACCATAATATTTTTCCGTAACAATAGTTGGTGTTGTTGTTTCTGCGTCCTTCCTATCTAATGCAATTTTTCTTAATAATCTCTCCCTACGATCCTTATACGACATTTCCGTCGTTGGTTCAGTAGAGTGCCATTGTTCCACGTTTAAAATAGTTTCAGTTTGTCCAACGGTTTTACTTGTGTATGGTATTTTAGTAGCAGATTCAAAACTCTTTTTATTATCTATTTCCACTTTCTTCTCTGTTTTTATTGTGCTTTTTTGTTTATCGCTTCGTATTGCCGCAATTTTTTCAGTTGTAGCTTGCAGAGTTTTATTTTTTTCCTTCTCTAGGAATTCTCTTAGTAGTGAAACTCCTGGCCTTGTGTAAGGTTCACGATTATCGTTAATTGTGTAACTTTTGGTGTAAGGTACTAAAGTTTGTCGTTTTGTTGTTGCTTGCTGTATATATTGCGGAGCATTGGTGGCTGTTATATCATATAATGTAGTAAGCGTCTTAGTTTTTGATGGTTTGCCTTGTAAGTTATGATTATATACAGGATATGGTCTGAGGTTCTTACTGTTATATTCTTGTAAAAATTGTCGATTTTGGTTTTGGGCAAAAGAAGCTGTTTCCGCGGCTACTTGCATTTCCCTCAAGCTGTTATGATCATAAACCGGTTGAGTACTTTTGCGGGTTGTTGAGTCGTATACAGGTAAAGTTGTTTTAGATGGATGGTTAATGAAATCATTTGAAATAAGCTGAACGAGGTTCTTTTTCCGCTTTTCAAATTCAGTTGTAGCATACGTTGGATTTGTATCAAAGATTGTCTGGTAGTTTCCGGTCGTAGGAACATCAGTGGGTACAGGTCCATTATTTTGTAACTTTTGGGATTGTCTTAGAAGTTTTTCTGTAGTTGAGGGTATAGGTGCTTTTCTAGATTCAGATCGAACGTGAGAATCGTCACCGACATTTTGGTAATTAGGGTTCTTGGAGAGAGTTCTTCCTACTTTCTGAGACTTCTTTTGTTCATTGGAGTAGTACTCTACACTAGCCTCGTACAGAGCCGGTGCGGATGCACAATCCACCTTGAACCACCAGTCACAAATGAGATGCGACTGACTGAAGATGGTGCCGTTTGGACACAAGAACGATATCTTGCGTGACGTGTCACAAATATGGAATACCTGGAATACAATAAATTAGATTTTAATAACAATAAAATGAAAACAAGTATCAAACTTTAAGAATTAAACATTATATACCTGACAATCGGTTTCCAAGTCAGCATAATAACCCGTTGGCACGTTCTTACAGTTGAATCCGGTTTTGGGGATGTTGGGAAGAGCTGGAAAGTCAACACCTGCCTTACCTATTACACCTGAAATTATTTTATTGTTATATTTTTGTTTTTACCAAAATACTAAAAGACGTCGCATAGGCAAATAGTAATCAAAATATATTTAGAAGAAGCTATAGGATTGGATGATTTTGTAAGAGGTACATTTAGTTGTTTATATTACCCATATGTTCGACAACGTCAAGGTCGGGCTGTCTGTCAGCCGGTATCAGCCGCTTGACGAGTTTCTTTCCCTCCGTGTAGTCTTCGAAGCCCGCCGCTCCCATCGCTTGTGCGATCGCTGTCAGTGACTGCGCACTTGGTTCGGGAAGATACAAGGAAGATGAATCCTATGAAAGCAAAAATTCGTTTTATTAAATTGTCAAGGAATAATCTTGTGAGAAGGGGGTAGTCAAAGAGTACTTGCCCTCTTGCCCTCTGTTTAGATTCGAATAAGTTTTCATCAGAATAGAAACACTTAGTTATATCTATATGAACATATCTACTTATCCTACCTTTCTCCGATTCGCCACTTGTCGAGCACAGTAACTAGTTTGCACCAAATCTGCAAAAAGAATAACAATATCCTATAGCATTTGTTACATATTAATCACGACAAATGTATTTTAATTCAAACAAAATCGTTATCTAATTTATTTAATAGTCCTTTATCCCACGCGGCTTTCACTGCACAAACAATCAGTTTGTAAATCAATATAAACTAATAGAAGACTCCATACAAATGTTAATGTCCATTCATTGAAGATATCTAATGAATGGGAGATGGCATTAGCGAGCTTTCTAATGGTTGACCTGAGATCAGGCTATTAGTCACTGATCTTTTAAATAATCCTACAAGTTTTAAAACGGACATACCTTGTATGTTATATTAAGATTTGAAACGAAACGTATCCATTCAAATATTATTTACAAAGCTTTAAATTGTGTTTATTTTTTATACAATATATTTATTTTTGATAGAAAAGACTCTTTTTTTCGTTTATACATATTTACATATGTAATAAATGTTTTGCACAGTGAAAGCATATACTACCTTACTTGTAGAATAAAATCGAGGGAATCTGAACTAGAATTTGAGATAACGTAGGCTTTTGAAGCTTTCACCATTAGCATCTGCATCGAATAAGTTAAACTTGGCCTTTGATATGTAATAGTTTAATTTTTCTTCTGTCATCTGTTTTGTTATAAAAGAAATAAGAATGAGTATAATAGACGCATCTGTTTGATTGTGTTTATTGTTGTGTCATCAGCCATATTTTGTTAACAAGAAAGCCACCAACAATCGTTTTTATATGTATTGTTAGATTCTTCTTCGAATTTTGTACATCTAATTTGATATTACATTTGACTAATTGCTTTACAAATTTAATTAACCTTTAAAAAAAGATAGTGTATAAAGATAAGTTTGAAATTTAAACGAAGTAATTCACAGGTTGTATTGGCAAGCGTGAAGCACTTAATCGAGTAATCATAATCCAAAAATGTCTTACATCATTGTGGAAAAAAGTTGATACATAATCAGAATGCTTGGCGATATATTCAAACATAGCTAAGGAGCAACATCAGGAAACTGGCTTTTACATGAAAATGATCGCGTGATAATAGGAAAGTAGTTTATGCATTATTTTTAAAGAGAGTTATTGGTAGTGCTTCTAATTAATGACCTATCTTTAAAAGTATCATTAACCTAAATATTAAACTATTAGTCACGGCAAGAAGGTCACACCACCATCTATATATATAATATTTCTAATATATATCATATATTAACTATAACCTAATTTTAATCTACTTAATTACTTTCAATCTTGACAAGCAAACCTGACGAAATGTAGGTAGTCAATCCAAATGACACCCCATTGACATTTGTAGTCATCGCATAACAATTGCAAGTTGGAAAAGTAATTACAGGTTCAATGAGATCTGATTGTTGGTTCAGAGTAACTCTAACATACCGGAAAGGTATGTTGTGACATTCATTATTGTTTGGAAAACGCAATGATGAGGTCGCAATAATATAACATAAAAATTAACTCTGAAACATATTTAAGATCTCGTGAACTCGGCACAGACATTATGAGCCGTGTCATTTAATAATTATGTTTGACTCTCTGAGTTCGTTCTCACAATTTTATAAGGGCTGTTAAGAATGCTGTTACAGAAATGGTTTTGAAATTCTTGATACTTGAGAAACACCTCATTATCCCGACCTTTTGAATGGTCTCGATACAAATAATTATTGCGATCATTTGATGATTGCTACGGAATGATTTTCTTTGACGGATGCTATTTGTTATGATCTATGGTAGGAAAATGCTTTCAGTTCTGAGAAATAAGGCTGAGCACGCAAGAGATGCTGGGATGTTGTCTAACTACAATTATTTCTTTTGATATAGCAATAATACAGTAATTTAAGACACCTAAAAATAAAGTTGTTAAACTCGAGAGAAATAATTATGTTTGATCATACAAATTGCATTGAAATAGTATTAAGCATATTATCGAATCAATTCATATTAATATACGATTGTGACGTAAAAAATTGATATATTTTTTTCCTCGTATTCTTAATATATAATGTTCATGTCTTAGAATAATTCATCAGAGCCTCATTCGCACGTGTGTACACAGCCTACTGCACATGCAATATGTTGCGAGACGCTTTTGTTAGCTGGTAGGACATAAATAAGCTGTTACTTAACACACTTGTATGTGTTCATCCTCGAAGGATACGTTGCCGGCGTGATGTATTCACTTGGAAATATAAGATTTTCTGCTCATTTTAGTGATATATGTCCACAATTACTGCTAAAGACTTCAGAGCAAGAGATGCTTCAAATCAAACCTTGCTCTATAATCATTTGTTTGAATATCTTTATAGACTCTACCGTAGAAACGACTGGCTTTCTAATAAATTGTTATTATGTGTAACTAATAACTGAAATACTTACTTAAAGCCACCAAAACACAGATTGTTTTAAACGAAATCATTTTTATGTCCAAGCCTTCCTTCCACCGCATACCTGAAACAGAAAAAATTACATTCAAGAAATATATTTATATGTGTTAAGAAATTTATTCATATATGTTGAGTTATATATAATTATTATTTAGTTTTATATACTGAGCATTAAAGGTGTGAATTTTATTTGTGAGCTGATGTGGTAAATATTTCTCAAGTGGTGCGCGTGCGCAGGACGAATGAAATATTCTCAATAGGAGAGGAGATTATTAAAACACGGCTCAAAGATTAGACATTAGCTACTTTGTAACTGTGTATATTGAATTAAATAAAATAAAAGTACTTTAAATTATAGTTTTTATGTAATATAATTGAAGTTTTTAGTACTACGACATTATTACAGTTGATTTGAAAAGGTATGAAAAAACTGTTTTAAAAGTTGTTTAACGGTGTGTAAAGACTGATATAGGGAATAATTACATTTTAGTTTGTCCTAGACATTAATTATTTTGTTCAACATTGATCGGTTTACTCTTTGCACGCTTCTAAACCTATATTTCAAAATATACATTCAACAAGAATCCCTAAACGGAAAATAATGTTTGAGTTTAAGTTATACAAATTAAAACAGCAATTTGCACACCCGAGCAGCATCTTCTGACAGTCTTATACAATTATCAAGTAGCTAAGTGCGGTTATTCTTTGCATAACCCGATGAAACGATAAACATTAAACGGCGATCGGAAATTATAGCCCCTATCATGTTTACATAACGGCGAAAGTGGCTTGACCACGACTGTACAGTCAAAGAGCACAGTTGAAAGTACGGCTAAGTATAGATACGTAATTACATGGAAATCAGGAATTTTGTTGGAACTTGTGATGAAAGAAGTCGTCCATCCGACGAAATGTAATAACTAGTTTGGTTTGAGAACAAAAATATATGGCTTAGTATGATATTATCTTGGAGTAATTGAAAAAGCATAAAATTTCATTAAACTTATACTGTCGGCGAAGATCTTACATCACATTACATTCCATATAGTTTTTTATAGGAAGCTCTGTACAGCTCGGTTATCATTTGCTTACATTTGCATGTCATTAGTAAGAATAAATTATTATATACTTTACGAAATATGTCATTACATACATATAAATAATTTTTAATATCGATATTGAATGTAAATGTGTTTTGTATATTTTTATATGTCTATTTACTTAGTCTAAGTTGGCACCCTCACTCAGCTTTTAAAGTTTTCTACTTAAAAACCTCCACACATCAATTGTTCAGGAAGATTATTGAATGACAAACGCAAAACTTTTCGTATATACGTCAACTTGGACTACGCCTATATTGTCACACCTTCGTTAGTTTCCCATGCCTCATCACGAGCTTCGTGACGCGAGATGTAATGTGATTAGAGCCTTATCTTTATACACTTTATTTACTTATAAAATTTTTAATTTTCCTTATTAAATTTCAAGTTTCCACAATCTACCTTAAGTGTTTTTAAAGGAGATTTACTTTTGCGACATTTTTTACGCAATTCTTTGTGTCATTCGAACCAAGTGCTTGTTATTCATATCCAACATCAATTGATCCGTGATTGTCACATTAAAATCTTAGATTAATAACTAACTTGCAATGTTTTCGTTGAAACATTTATGTCATGAACTAGTGTGAAAACAGTTTTCCGGGAGATTCTATCACAAGCGTGTCACGACAACTGTTAACTGATTTGTTTTTATACACGTATTATTTCCAGTGGCGGCTGTACCTTAAGTGCACTCGTGCGCTGAACCACCAATTCAAAAGATTTGAAAATTACAAAATATTACTTCATCTTTATTTTTCAATTACCATTTTAATATTTATTTTCTAATCATACAAAAACGTATAAAAATTAAATTTCTAATTATAGTCAAAAAGTTTGAGCGCTTTAATACATTAATATCTCGTGCGCTTCGGCGAGTGCACGAGGACTGCTAATACATCTTGTATGAGAGACGCATTAATACGCCTGACGCGTGAAACAAAAGATAGTTCATAGAAATGTACCGAGTAATGAGTCGGTTCTCGAGCGCCGCACGAGCGGCCGAAGATTACCGAGAGCACCCGATGTATGACGAATTGGAATTGAAAAGAATCAAAACTTTTTTCCGATATACCATGCACTTGCAAAATGCACTTTCTGTGCTTAGTATTGAATAAAATAATAATACAAACAATATCCGATTTTAATAAAAATTTGATTGAATATTTCGCTTCAGAAAAATGTCGTCACATTAATTTAATGTATAATAAATAAACATATTTTATGTCAATTGGTTTTTTGTTACATTTTCTAATTTAATATTTTAGTAAAGTGCACCACCACTTCGATAACCCACCAGCCGCCACTGATTATTTCTACATTGTTTTTAATAATACAACATATCTTACTAATACATATATGAGTATTATATATATTTATAGAAAGCTAATGAATAACCAACATATAAACGTCATTACAATATGTTATTTCGTTAGATTATAACAATTTGTCAGAACAGTTCCCAGTGTTATTGACATGGAAAAAAATATTGGTATTTTCTTTTCATATCTACATTTGTAATTTATTAAAAAGAATTTAGAATCAACGAGGAAAATCAAAAATCAATAAACATATAATTAAGGTTCTATATGAAAATTAATCATTAATAAACGAATAATACAAATACTATTTCAGAATCTTATTTTGCTTATATTATTTTGAAGATTGCACTTTAAAATACAAATAATTTTGGAAATATTAGGAGTCAAGTTCAATGTTATTACATAAAATATTATGTTTAGAAAATTTAAATATTATTATGTCATATTGTATAAGAAAATATGTTTTTTTTATAATCATATTCAATTTTTTTCAAATATATGTTGTAAAACTTATAATTATTATGATAGTTATGAAATGCTACCATGCATAAAAGTATACTAAAGATTATATATTATGTTATAATTAAATTATTTTACTACCAATAAGTTAAACAAGCTGAAAAAAGTTACTAAATATATATGTAACGATATTAATAATTTTTATATGGCAACATTTACTCGGGATAAAAAATTATGTGAATTCAATAATTTGAAAAGGCTTTAAGTATGTTTAGTTGGTTG